AAATAAGATTGACAGACCCCTGGCAAATACGACTAAAATGAGGAGAGAAAAAACCCAAATCAGTAAAATCAGAAATGCAAAAGGGGAGATAACAACAAACACCACAGAAATCCAGGACATCATCAGAGACTACTTTGAGAGCTTATACCCTAATAAATTTGAAATTTTTGAAGAAAAGGACAGATTTTTGAAACTTACAACCATTCAAAACTGAACCAAGAGGATATTAATCACCTGAATAGATCTATAACACAAAAAGGAATTGAAGCAGCAATCAAGAGTCTCCCAAAAAAGAAAAGCCCAGGACCTGATAGATTCACTGCTGAATTCTATCAGGCATTTAAAGATGAACTAATACCAACCCTTCTTAAACTGTTCCATGAAATAGAAAGGGAAAGAACACTGCCTCACTCATTTTATGAAGACAATATTACTCTTATCCTAAAAGCAGACAAAGACACCTCCAAAAAGGATACTTATAGGCCAATTTCCATAATGAATATCGACACAAAAATCCTCAATAAAATAAAGGCAAACCGATTCCAACAACACATCAGAAAGATCATACATCATGACCAAGTTAGCTTCATCCCAGGGATGCAGGGGTGGTTCAACATACACAAATCTATAAATGTAATACAGCACATCAATAGAAGCAAAGACAAAAACCACTTGATCATCTCAGTAGATGCAGAAAAAGCCTTCAACAAGATCCAACACAACTTCATGATAAAAATTCTAAGAAAACTAGAAATAGAAGGGATGTACCTCAACATTGTAAAGGCTATATATGAAAAACCTACAGCCAACATCATAGTTAACAGTGGAAAACTGAAACCATTTCCCCTAACATCAGGAATGAGACAAGGGTGCCCACTATCTCCATTCCTATTCAACATAGTACTGGAATTTCTAGCCAGAGCAATTAGGCAAGAAGAAGAAATAAAAGGAATACAAATAAGTAAGGAAACTGTCAAAATACATTATTTGCAGATGATATGATCTTATACCTTAAAGACCCAAAAAACTCTACCCAAAAACTCTTAGATACCATAAACAGTTATACCAAGGTGGCAGGATACAAAATCAACATACAAAAATCATTAGCTTTTCTATACACCAACAATGAACAAACTGAGAAGGAATATATGGAAAAATTCCATTCACAATAGCCTCAAAAAGAATCAAATACTTGGGAGTAAATTTAACAAAGGATGTGAATGACCTCTACAAGGAGAATTACAAACTGCTGAAGAAAGAGATCGAGGAAGACTACAGAAGATGGAAAGATCTCCTATGCTCATGGATAGGTAGAATTAACATAGTAAAAATGGCTATACTACCAAAAGCAATCTACATGTTTAATGCAATTCCCATCAAAATCCCAATGACATTCATCACAGAGATTGAAAAATCTACCCTAAAGTTCATTTGGAAACACAAGAGACATGAATAGCCAAGGCAATACTCAGCAAAAAAGAGCAATGCTGGAGGTATCACAATACCTGACTTCAAACTATATTACAAAGCCATAGCAATAAAAACGGCATGGTACTGGCACAAAAACAGATATGAAGACCAATGGAACAGAATAGAGGACCCGGATATGAATCCACACAACTATACCCACCTCATTTTTGACGAGGTGCCAAAAATAAACGAAGGAGAAAAGACAGCCTCTTCAACAAATGTTGCTGGGAAAAATGGTTATCCGTACGCAAGAAACTGAAACTAGATCCATGTCTATCACCCTGTACTAGTATCAACTCAAAATGGATCAAGGACCTTAATATCAGACCCAAAACTCTGAAGTTAGTACAGGAAAGAGCAGGAAACATTCCAGAACAAATAGATATAGGCAAGGAGTTCCTCAATAGAACCCCAGCAGCCCAGCAACTAAGAGAAAGGATGGACAAATGGGACTTCATAAAATTAAAAAGCTTATGCACAACAAAAGAAATGGTCTCTAAACTAAAGAGACCACCCACAGAGTGGGAGAAAATATTTGCCAGCTACACATCAGACAAAGGACTGATAACCAAAATATACTGGGAACTTAAACTAAACTCTCCTAAAATCAGTGAACCAATAAAGAAATGGGCAACTGGACTAAACAGAACTTTCTCAAAAGAAGAAATTCAAATGGCCAAAACATGAAAAACATGAAAAATGCTCACCTTCTAAACCCATAAAGGAAATGCAAATCAAAACCACACTAAGACTCTATCACACCCCCATAAGAATAGCCATCATTAAAAACATCACCAATAACATGTGTTGGCAAGGATGTGGGGGAAAAGGAACCCTTGTACACTGTTGGTGGGAATGCAAGCTGGTGCAACCACTCTGGAAAAAAATTTGGAGGATTCTTAAAAATCTAAACATAGATCTGCCATATGATCCAGCAATCCCACTCCTGGGGATATACCCAAAGGAATGCAACACAGGTTACTCCAGAGGCACTTGCACACCCATGTTTATTGCAGCACTATTCACAATAGCCAAGTTATGGAAACAGCCAAGATGCCCCACTACTGATGAATGGATTAAGAAAATGTGGTATTTATACACAATCAAATTTTACTCAACCATGAAGAAGAATGAAATCTTACTATTTTCAAGTAAACAGATGGAACTGGAGAACATCATTCTAAGCAAGGTTAGCCAGGCTCAGAAGACCAAAAACCATATGTTCTCCTTCTTAAGTGGACTTTAGATCTAGGGCAAATGCAGCAATGTGGTTGGACTTGGGTCACATGACAAGGGGAGAGCATATATGGGAGGTATGGGGAGAGGTAGAAAACCCAAAACATGAAAGCCTTTGATGTCCCTACTCCAGAGGAACTAATACAGAAACCTTAAAGTGACAGAGGTCAATATGAGCAGGGGATCAGGAACCAGTGTAAAGAACAGTTAGAGATGAATCAACTTGGGTTGTAATACATTTGTGCATGAAAGCAATGCTAGGAATCTCTCTGTATAGCTATCTTTAACTCAACTAGAAAAACTCTTTGTCTTCCTTACTATGCTTATGCCCTCTCTTCAACAAAATTAGAGATAATTTTCTGTTCTGCCTGGAAGCAATGGGGTGGAGGATAGACAGTGAGGAAGGGGGGCAGGGGAGAGAAATGATGCAAACAATGTACACACATGTGACTAAATGAATAATAATAAAAAAAAGAAAATGAAGTGCCAAACAAGATATCAAGAGAAAACCAACTCACATATATAGTGAAATTAAGACCAAATTAAAAGAATCTTGGAAAAAAATTACAAAAGCTAAAAAAGAGAAAAGATCAGTAGCATTTACAAAGAAAAATATAACCAAAGGACACAAATGTTGTGTTGGAGGCCAGTGTTGGAGCCAAGAAAACAAATGAGTTAGTGTTTTCAAAGTGTTGAGGAAAACAGAATTCCATTTTGTCTTTTACAAAGTTTGCTGCACTGGTATATTTTTAGGAAATCTTTTAAGAGTATCTTTATGATGCATGTTAACTACACAATTTGAACTGTTGTAGAGTAAATATACTTACATAGCCAGAATCTAGCTCAAAAATAAAAAAAATCAGGAGTTCTCCAGAGCCTGCTCTGCCATCTTGTCATTACCACAACTCATTCCCATGTTGGTAACTGCTCTCCAATATATATGACTATAGACCAGGTGTGTCTATTTTGAACCTTATATAAATTCTTTATAGAGTATATTACAGATCTGAAATCTCTCACCCAAGTGTAGATTTAAAAAATGCAACTATGTTACTGTAGCATACAGTTGCAATTCCTTTGTTTTTATTGCCATAATTAATCCCATTGTATCAATACTCTATATCATAACTGTTGATAGGCATTTGTGTTAAAAATTGAAGTTATTTCTAATAGTGGTGCTATAAACATTCTTATACATGGCTTTTTATTAAAAATATGTATGCTATTAGATTACTCTTGATTTTGCTATGTATTCACTTAATTTTAACTTTACTCTTTGTTTAAGTATGCTTACTTTTGTTCAGCATTCATATCTCATAATGATGGTGAAAATGAATATTAACTTTGCGTGAGTATTCCTTTAGTCTGTCCATGAATTTAATTTTTAAATTTATTCATTTATTCATATGTGCATACATTGTTTGGGCCATTTCTACCCACAGCCCCACACCCCACTTCCAGGCAGAACCTGTTCTGCCCTTTTCTCCAATTTTGTTGCATAAATTTTAAACACGACCTTTTCCATTTCTGCGAAGCATCATTTAAATCATGTAAGCAATTATTGATTTTTTTTGTGGCACTGGTGTTTGAACTCAGGACCTCACACTTGCTAGGCTGGTGCTTTCACTCATGACTTTTATCTTACTCAGGTCGGTTGAAATGTTACCTCCCAGACAGACCACTCAGCATAAACTGGCCCCATGGTCTCTTTCAATCATGTCATTCTGTCTTGTTTTCTACAGTATATCACTGCCTAGTATATTCTCATTTCCTTTTTGTTGTTGTCATCCATTGTTCCCACTAGGATGTAAGGTCCTGAAGTCTGAGGTTACTCTGTCTCTGTCTTCCACACTGAGAACAATGCATAACAAATAGGATGCTATTGTTGAATGAATGGATGGATGATTAATTACACTAATATGTAAGCAAGATCTCTTTTACATCATGGATTAGTCAGGTGGACCTAAAAAGGCTTCTAGTCTCAGCTTTTTAAGACCACTCAATAGACATCTTCTTCCAGGTGTCTCCTATAAAAATCTGTTCTCAGTAAAGAATCTTAAACTCAATTTACCATAAGCATAAACAATTTTTAACAGTCTATTTTGATAACAATCCTAAGTATCATTTTATCAAGGACATACCCATGATAGCAGAACTACTAAGCGTAAGAAAAAGTTTTCCATCATTATTCTTTTCATGATGGATCTTGCCAGAGACTTGGGAATTTTTAAATTAAATTTCAATCTGTAGTTTTCTCATGTTCCCTATCACAAATAGATAGTAATATAACTTACGTTTTCTTTTTGAGAAGAATACATAGACCAACATTAATGCTTAATGAGATACATGAAAAAATGGAGAGAATAATAATAAGCACACACTCAGAAGAGGAACCAGTAGCACCTGAAAAACACAAACCAGAAGCATGTTCTCTGTGAGTATACTTCCTTCCTGTTCACTGCAGTGTCATCTTTGGACCTTTAATTCCTAATGCTTTTTTGACTTGCCATTGCTTCATTGACATTCAAATTCATTCTACCCAAAAGTGTACCATATTTGGTCTTTGTTTACTTGCTTTTTCCTGGAAGTATTTTATTAACATATATTATATTGTACAGGAGGGATTCATTGTAACATTTCTATACTTATAATGTTCGCTGGTTAGGTTCATCTCTCTCCCTCACCAGTCCTTCACTTAATCAGAATGCAGCAGGCTTCATTGTTCTATTTATGTAAATAAACCCTATTCACTCTCCTTTATTCCCTCCATTCACCCTCCCACCACCTACAAAGGCCCACCCCCTTTTGGACTTTTTTTATGGTTTTGCTATGTAGCCCAGGCAGATCTTAAACTTGAGATCCTTGAGGAAAATGTAATATTGACACTCTGTAAAATGAAATTTACAGAGTCTGTAATAACACAAGAAAATAAATTTATGATTATAACAAATATTTAAGATCAATGTGTTAAGCAATGTGATAAGAATTTTACAAGGACTGTGCCATTAATGTAGTGAGTACAATTATTAGGTACTTGGAGAAATGGAGTCTCTGCGATATTCAGAAAATCACCTGAAGACACAGTGATTATGTGACAAAACTGGAAAACAAGTTCTGCTTTGATTCTGTAGTTTTCACTCAATGAAAAACAAACATTGCAAAATTTTGAGTATCAACAACTTTTCAAAACAGCTATTTTGATCCATACTGTTCTTAAATTGAATTATAGATATCTCTTTCGTTCTGTGCAGCCTTTAAACATAACTTACATTTTTCACTGCACTTAAATTTAACAAAAGCCATCATCATGATTATCAATGACTGTTCACAGATACAACAGAAAAATGAATATACGTTGGCCCTTAAGGAAATTTTCTCTTATATTAAATGCATGAAATATTGTGAATTTTGTATTCTTAGGTCTTGTTATGGTAGGATTTTTTGGTCTTCCTAATTTCTCTAAATCATTTTTGTGCTCATAATAACCTTTCACCCCTTTTTAATTTGTTGCTTTAAATTTTTCATTGCCATTCAAGGAAAAAAGAAATCCTTTAAGTAGTTTCTTCATCCTTCAAATGATCTTAGAAATTTTGACTTAACTTTTAACTGCACAGATATCATTGTGTCTCAGTTTTTAGGTTTATTTATGTTCTTTTTCAATGAGATACTATATAGCCCTTTTGAATAGGCAGAAGGGACCAAATGTGAGGAATATGACACTAAAATGTGAACACATCCCTATAGTCAACATCTACAAAGCAGAGTGAAAAAAGCTTCATATGCACAGCAGAATCAGGGATTAATGTCCCTAATAGTCATCAAAAAGCTAAGCAAGGAAGAATCTTCTACCAAATTGATAACTGCTTCTTTACTGACATTTGCATCTTAGTAAAAAAGTAAAATTAACCACAAAAATCTAGCCAATAGATTGATGGGGAGATACCTGTGTTGTTCAATTGGCATAATCCAATTTCATGAATTAGTAAAATTTACCAGGAAAATGGAGCCAATTAACTTCATTTTCAAGAAACAGAAAAAAATAGCTCTAATGTTTCTTTGGAATCCTTTGAAAATAAGTAACAAAAATAACAGATTTTTATGCAAAACAAGAAAAATGTCAGCATGGCCTTCAGTGACAAGAAAATGTGAAGGAACAAACTTATAAAAGATGTAAAGCAGACAGAGGAATGAGTTATGCAGGTGCAGGATGAACCAGGGTAGCAGAAAATAGACCTCACCTGTAGAGAGCCCTGAAGAGCTAGAAAGTCCCAGTGAGGCTAAAAAGAAGGGGGAATGCAACAGAATTAAAGTTACAGCCCAAAACACCCATTTCCATAGTCCAAAGCATAACTATGGACAGCTAGCTTACTCCTCACAAAACAAAAAATGGAGGGATAGATTCAGTAACTTACTGAGCCTACTGTGAATGCCTAAAAGAGTCAAGGTGAAAGCCTTTACATTCTAATTTTTAGAGTCTCCTATGCAATTGCTGCCTTTTGCCTACAAACAAAAGCCTACCCCTCCATAAATTGCAGCCTTTAATAAGTCTCCAGTAAAGGCTTATCAGACACTGAAGGAAGCCCACCACCCAAATGAGATGCCTGAGTAAAAGAAATATAAAACTAAAATGGTAGGGGTAGGAGGAGTGGAGTAGATAATTAAAGATACAGAAGATAATTATTATACTTCCAAATTATTAATCTCAGATATATCTGAGAAGATATCACTTTTTAAAACTGAAAAATAACGCTATGAGCAAATTATATATTTTAATTTTTAAATTGCAAAAGGAATTCTAAATTGAAACCCTGAATGGCAAAAGAAATAAAAATCCAATGAGATGTTTGAGGACAATTTTAGAAAATTTCCCAGATCATATGAAGAAAAGAAAAAATGAATGTTTAAAAAGAAAAAAAAAATCTAATTAAATGTTTTTAATGTTGTTTAAACAGAGGTTTATAAAGACAGAACCAGATGAACAGAGACAAAATCTCAAAGAAATGAGAAAATTTTCACAATTGAAGGATTTGAGTCTCTGGATTGAATGAAATCACCAAATGTTCATCATGTTAAAGGATAAACAAATCAAACTAAAATTATTACTAGGAGAAACTATTATGTTATCAAAAGAAAATTCAGTAATATTTATTATAAAAATCTTCATCTGAGAGAATGGATGTTCCAAGATAATGGAGAAATACATTAGAAATCTGAGGGCAATTGTGTAACAATCCATCACATAATGTAATTATATAATATAAAATTGTATAACTATCAATAACATGATATAATTATACAATATAAGATTGTATAACTATCAATCACATAAAGTAATTACACAATGTATATTTATGCAACTATTAATCACACATAAGAGCATTATAGACTGCAAGGTAGATTTTGTGGCCTGTTAGCACAATACCAGAGACAACAGGAAAACTGCTCATTGTTTTCATTCTACAGAATTGATTTCCGGACCCAGTCTGGGCCAGGTGGTGCTGAAAGAGATGGAAGGGTGATTAGTGTTGGCCTAAATGTTAGTGTTCTGAAATAGTCTTATTTCATGCTAGTCATCATTTTGCCCTTTATTTTGTTATTCCAGAGAACCTTTAATTCAAAAATTGATGAGACGTTCTCAATTGACACTAGATTATATTCAGTTCACATGGCCAATGGTCCTGGATGTTGAAAAATAGTAAAGACCCTCTAATTAATGAAATTTCATGACTGAAGGTTTTGTTAGGTGGGTTTTAATAATGTTCAAATGTTATTCCCTTACTTATATTATGTTTAACCTTAAAAGTTGACTATTTTATAGGTAAATTATTGATTATCAGCAATGTAATATGATTCAAACAAATATTGTAATAAATGAAGTCATTGAAAGACCTCCTAATAGATAGCTTCCACAATTGTTCTCTGAATCAAACAATGTTGTCAATGCCACATACAGTGAGTGGTATAGTTGCTAGCTAGTGCTCACAAGAGACAAAGAAAGGAAGTAAAGACATGTAAATCCTGCTACTTACTAAAATTGGATCACAGTCAATGTTAAGCTGAAGAGAAAGATTTATTCTATTGACTGTGAAATAGGAAATGAAAAACAGGCTATTGATGTATAAATAACACCACTGGAGAAATTATACCATTTTCTGGGACACGATCCTTAGGGTAAGATATAAGCAGGATTGGGGTACCTTAACTGATATTCAAATATTGTTCTGTAGTATTTATTCAAACATAGAATAGTCTGAAGTTGTGCCAAATACTAGAATGGAAGTTGCATTTCTACCTTTCTTCAAGAGGAGGGAATGGAAACTCTAGTTGGTAAGTAAGCCAATATCTCTTCACCACTTCTGTAAAAAATATCTAAGGCTATGTGATGCAGGCTGAAAACAGCAAGTAGGGGTTCAAAGCACATTAACTACCAAGCATGGTGACAAGGGGCCTGTAGACATCAAGACCACAGGACTGCAGTTATAATGAAGAAATGGTGATGATCATTATGAGTTTGGAGAATAAAGACAGTTTTCAATTCCAGAAATGGCCAATTGGGCCATGGGGAACATTAAGAAAATCTGGACAAATTATTTTTAAAAGTCTTTTTGAAATACCAAAGGGTTACAAAATTAGGGCCTACATTCAGTAGAGGTGTTTGCTAAGCGAGGTAAGTCTGACATTTGGAGATACTTTTTCACCCCCAAAATATTGCCAGTTTTTAAGGTGAAGGTCAAAAATGAGATGCTGAAAAACTGACTTTTCAAGGAGTGAAACCAATTTCAAATAATCTCCATTTCTGTTTGAATTAAAGTAATCGGTCCCTAGCATAAACACTGAAACAAAGCAAAAGTAAATGTTCTCTGTTAAAAAAAAAAAAAAAGATAAAATCACCCATTACAAAAGTCCACATATATGATTCCACTTTTACGAAATGTACATACAGGCAAATGTGCAAAGACATAAATTAGACTAGTAGTTCCCTAGCACTGGAGACATGAGAGATTTGGGATACCACAAGGAGAAATCACTTGGTATGCATGGCTACAGTCATTTTTTAAAAATAGAATAGCAAGTCTTGGCAAGGACTACCGTGATGATTATTGCATAACCCCTGGGAGACAGACTTTACATGGTGAATTTTGTGTTATGTGAATTTTATCTCAATAAAAAATCATTGTCATAGGAAAAAAAGAGAATGTTTTTATTTGGGGGGGGCAGGATAATAAAAATGTTCTATAATTAATTTGCTGATGACTGTGAACTTTGTAAATATATTAAAAATCATTGAATTATAGTATGCAAATTATGTGTCATAGAGTTTTTACAAAAATACAAGGCTTTAATTATATCTAAAGTTTCTCATGGATAAAGTCTAGTAAACAGTGAAAAAAATGGCCATGTATTTTATAAAAGTAAAAACATGACTTACACCCAGCACTCAGGAGTCTGAGGCAGAAGAATTGAGAGCTCAAGGCCAGTGTGGGCACCATAACAACAATCTGTCTCAAAAAAAAAAAAAAGAACAAAGAAAGAGATCTGGGTATTGGAGTGTCACAGAGTTTGTAATATAGATAAATTAGTGATTACATGCACCTAATGAATTGGAGTCCCAGAAAAAATATGCGTGAATGGACAGCAGGAACAAATGGAGAGGTAAGAGTCTAAAATTTTTCCAAAGTGAAGACAGATAACTACCCACAGATTAATACAAAGGATTAATACAAAGAGTGTATTAAGGCATATAATAATGAAACTAGCAAAAAAGAAACACAACCAGAAAATCTTATAAGCATCCAGAGTGGGGATTGAGGGAATAAAAGCAATAGAATTAGAAAGCCAATAGAATGAAATTGTCAAACCAATGAAAAACAAAGCCTTCCAAAGTGAAATTATGAATTTTGTGAAGATGTTCTTTAAAAATAAAGACATAGCCAAAAAAATCAAATGAATTAGCCATCTATGCATTTTTGAACTACAGGAAACTCAAAAGAGAATTTTCTGTGTAGAAGAAAGTTGATTCCAGGGAAAACTAGGAACGTAGTAAAAAAACAAAATGTAACAGAGAGGGTAAATATAAGTGAAACTGCTATAAATAACAGCAAGAACAATGACAAAAGTCTATTGTCATATTTAAATAGGTGTGAAGGTATAAAGTGAAAAAACCAATAGCACAAAGAGTGGGAGTTGCATTGTGGGAAGTGATAAACATATTAATTTATATTAGACTTTAATAAGTCAGGATGTATGTTAAAATCTCCAACTCACCAATAAAAGAAGAACAGGAAAATTATATTTTACAAAGTAATGGAGAACATGAAATAACTCCAAAGAAATCAGGGAAAGAGAGAAAAAGGGATAGGTGAGATAATAGAAGGTGAATAGTACTGTTGTAGATTAAAACCCCAAACTAATAGCATTTACAATAAGTATTTAGAGACTACTCTAGCTTTAAAAGATTACTAGGCAGAATACAGAAACAATTATTTACATTCTATCCTCTGACTTCTACCTTTATATTTGTCCTATGGGAGATTCATGCCTATAATTTACAGTTATGAAACAGAAGAAAATACAGCTACAGAGCTTGGACTGTAGTAGGGCAAGAAGAAGCCAAGAGCTGAGAAAGTCTTTCTGAGGTCCATGGAAAGGAAACAGATTTAGTCATGAAGGTGGCAGGGGTAAGCAGCTAAAAACCTATATGGAGGGGAAAGGGAGGGACGAGAAAGTGAGGGTCGTGTAAATGAGCCCAGTTTTCAGTGATCATGGCAGAAATTCAACAGAACACAAATGAAGAAATCAATTTCATAATGTGCCATATAGAAAGAGTTGATCCTGCAAGCAGGTTTGGAAAAGAGACTTAGTTATTTGAGAGTTGGAACCACACATGTAGACTTCATTGGTTTACAATTTCAAAAATACTGATTCATACAAACTCTTCCGGTAATAAATTTTAAAGAAAGATAATTATTTCCCCATACTGAGCTGTCACTTCTACTTACATTCTTGTTTTACTGACAGAGGAACAATTCTCTCTTCATTCCTCAGAGGGTGATCCATGTGCACAATCAGGTGTTGGAGTCCCAAGAACCGCACAGTCTCCAAAGAGACAGTGTATATTTTGGTGACGGTTACTGTGCCATTCTGGCTCTGATCAAGGTATTCCTTTGGTCGGTTCATGAGGACTTGTGAGGGGAAAAGAGAGATTTGAGGAGCAGGCTTTCCCACAGCTGAATAAATAAGCTCAAGAGAACCTTCAGAGTCAGAGATGAATCGGTTCTCATTTGTTAAGTTGGATACAGCTGAGGCAAAAAGAAAGAAAGAAAAATGAAATTAAATACAAAAGCATGTCATACTAGATTCCTGTGCTGCTTAAGACTTACTTTCCCCAAATTTTCATATGGAGCCAAATGCTGAAAACATATCCCTCTCAGATACTTTCCTCACCTTTTATGAAATCTCACAATACCAGTTCCTCTACTCACCCTTTCAACTTTCATTTAATCTGAAAACTACATTATACAAACCCCAATCCTTTAAATTTATAGCAACGGAATAAGGGGACTCTATGGCATTATCACTAGTGCTATAACATTTGGTTTATTTAAAGACTGAGAAATCCTTATTCTCTTAGAAGCTTCATCTTCCCTCTTTGTCCTTCTGTAGTATTATCTTTTATTCTTTTCCTCTCTTCTTTCAACAGTACAGTTGGATGGAAGATAGGCGAGTATAATGTAAAGAAATTAAACAAAGAGGACAAGGTCCTGCCTGTGTGAAAATGGGTAAGTCACATAACCATCATTGGCTTCCATTTTTATTTTTATATTCTCTGTAATCAGTGACTTGACCTGGATGATGTCTATTAATCTTTCATCCCCTAGCATTTTCTTTGGACCCTAACTTAAAGCATCACTACCCCTTGATTTCTACCCCAGTCATCTGACCCTACAGAAAACATTAATATACTCAAAATGTTAAGGCAGATCTCTCCTCCGTGGCTGCCATGTGGAAACACATTAAACAGACATTTGTAGCAGGCTTCATCTTCAAAGGTCACTTTCTGGATAGTTATGAATGAGGAATTGGGTTCAAGGATCTTGCAGTGCAGTCTGTCTACATATGGTGGAAGAATCTTTTCTCCATATTTACTACTATAAGTGCCAATATTTTGTGGGGAAGAATCTTGAATTTTCTGCCATGTAATTTGCACAACATCTTCTTGAGCTGTCCAGTTGCAGAAAATGGTCACATTTCCTCCCAATACAGCAGTCTCATTTTTCTTATGCTTTATCCTATATGAAAAATCTACAAATAAAATCCAGTATTAAGAGAAATGTATTTTTATAATAACCCAGCTTACCTTTATCATAGCACTTATCTCTCTGCCTTATAGTCAGCATTTTATTCCCTATGCCCCATCAGTAGAAAATGAAGTATGTAGCTGGGCCTGGTGGGGTGTGCCAGTAATCCCAGGACTGGGGAAGTTGAGGTAAAAGATTGTGATTCTGATTCTAGCCTTGTGCTACATATGGAGATCCTGTCTGAAAAAAGAGAGATGGGAGAAGGAAAGGAGGGAAGGAGGGAGGGAGAGAGGAAGGAGGGAGGAAGGGTTAAAGGAAGGAAAGAAGGAAAGAAGAAAATTACTGGGGATATATCCTCAGTGGTAGAGCACACGCCTACCATATGCTCAGGCAAAGTCCTGAGTTTGATCCCCAGAGCTACACACACACACACACACACACACACACACACATACAAACACAAAATCCTTATCTTCTTCACCACTGACTATATAATTTCTAGAATATGTTCTGGCACATACTACCTAAGTAGTATTTATTGAGTACAAAAGAAATTTTGAAGCATGTAAATTAACCAACATAAGACAAGCATAATTTTAAAATTCTTTTTGGTGGTGTTGTTTTACTTTTTGGGGATATGATCTCACTATGCAGCTCAGAATGGTCCCGACCTCTTGATCCTCCTCTATCTGCTTCCCAGGGGCTGGCATTACAGGTATAGAGCATGCACCTGACTCCCCACAAAAATACTTTGTAGTTAGTGGACCACAAATAACAATGCCATTAACAGATACACAGAAAGTATGTGGTAATTATGGGCACAGAGTCCAAAGATAACAGACAAGACTTATCCTGAGATTTCCAAAAGCACCGATTAACTCAGTCTTCTGCTACAGTAAAGGATTGACAGAAAGTCACTATCTTTCTGTTGGTTAAGAAAAAAAAAAAGTTTGGGAGAAATGACCCAAACATTGTATGCACATATGAATAAAAGAAAAAAAGAAGTTAAATATTTTCCTTCACCCCTCGTGGTAATAGAAAGGGGAATCTGATTAGGTTATTCTCTAGTAGGAAGTTGAAATGAAATTTTTGATTTTTCTTCATTTCTGTAGAAGGGCTTTTGAAAATTTGCTTATTAAGTGACATACATGTGTGTGTGCTTGTGTATGTGTCGTGTGTATATATATTTTTCAAAGTGTCACAATATACAATTGTAAACAAGAATAAAACCATATTTTCAAAAGTGTCATTTCTAGGTAGGATGAGGTAGTTTGCAGCTGGTTAAGACTTCCACAGAGAACAAGAAGAAAATTGGGTTAATTACACAATAATACATTCAAGTACATCAGGTAAGTGCAAAACCCAGAAAAATTAAATGGAATAAAACTTCAGAAAGAAGGGACTCAGTGGCAATAATCTGGGGCTAATGTCAGTTCTGTGGATTAGAACCTGGGCGTCAGGGAACACAGGCACCAGTGGTGACTGAAACCCTGCAGGGCTCCAGTGACTGGAGTGACAAATGGAGCACTTGTGGAGCTTCAGGCACTTGTCAGCTCCCCCACACCCCCGACTTAGGATCTTTGCTGAATTAGAAATCTGCATGCAGTGGGAAGCAAATCAAAATTTCAGAGACACAGTGGAAGTTTAATTTTTCCAGTCCCAAAGTTCCTAGAGGATAAAAATGTCTAGGAAGGGGCTCAAAAGAGTTAAAAACCTCTGGAAGGAGTGGTGAATTCACACTGGAAAGTGTCTAGCACTCTGTTCCTGGGGATTTTGTTGATCCAGGTTAAGAATCTGCTGCTGGGTGACTAGAAGATCTACAGAGCTGTGGGTGGTCCCTTGGCCAGAACAACAAGATTGGAGATTTAAGGAAATTCTAGAGCTGTCTCCCCTCAGGACAGTCCCCAAGGTCTGAGACTGTGCAGGTTAAGAAACCAAAGGACTAAATCAAACGTCTCAGAAGCGCAGAAGAAATTACTAATACTTTGATGCTGAGGAGACAAATATGCATCTAGCAGTATATGATTTAAAAGGTGTGATAAGCCAATATGAAATACTTTTTTCTTTTTCTTGCTCCCTCCCTCCTTCTTTCCCTCTCTCCCTCCCTTTCTTCCTTCTTTCCCTGCTGCACATCAGACCTAATGGCGTCATGACTGCCAGGCAGGTGCTTTGCCACTGAGGGCTATACTTTCAGGGCAGAAAATAATTTGAACTGAATATCCATGATGTTTTGACACATTAGAATTCGTGATAAACAGAGGCAAATGCTTATCCCTGAAAGCTGGACATTAGAAGAAAAGGCAAGAAATTGATGATACCTCCCATTTCATGCTGCTGGTCTATCAGTAGGAAATTAAAACTATAGAAGATAATAACAAAGAAAAGAGGAAAAAATTAAGAAAATTGTAGAGAAAAGGGATTATTTGTTATTTATAAGTTAATCAATTTAAACTGCCATGTTAATTTTAAAAGGTGATTAATTTGGATTTTGCTCTGTGAAAGAGAAAAGGTAAAGCCACAGATTTGGAGAAAACATATAATAATATAAAACAATTATAATAATATAAAACATTTATAATAATATAAAACATTTATAAATTACATATTTGATTCAGGACTTTTAAGTAACATTAATGGAAAAACCCACAAATGACTATAATGGGCAAAATTTCTGAACAAACCCCTCACTAAATTAATGAAGGATACACAAGACCTCACTGAAATCTACAAAATATTTCTGGGAAAATCCAAAAAGAGAAATAAATTGAAAGCTAAACCAAATTCAAGCATAGAACCTAAAGATATCAAATCTCTCCAAACTAATTTTAAGAGATTCAATGAAAATCTAATCAAAACTAAACCAGTTTCTTAAAATTTTAATTCTGGAAATTGACAAGTTGATTCTAAAAAGCCAAGAAAACAAACTGAAGACTTATTATCTAGATATAGAACTAAAGTAATGTAATGTTGGATTGAAAAAAAATGAAAATCTTTCAAAATAACAGTTCTGTGAATGGGACACATATATGGAAAAAATTGTGTATTACATAGTGACTCCCACCTAGGGCAGAGATGAAAATCATTTTCAATGTGTTAAAAATTGAACTATGGAAGATAAACCATAACTTTTAAAATAAAGTATTATAAAACATCTTTATGTCTATGGGAGCCAGTGATTTCTTAAGTAGGAGACACATCAACAGTTATTTCATGCCTCATTCCTTTCTTAGTAATAAGAAATAATAAAAGTTAAAAGTGAAGTTTAAGCCACCAGTGGCTCGCTCCTGTAATTCTAGCCACTCTAGAAGCAGAGACTGGAGAACAAACACCTGTGGTTCAAGGCCAGCCCAGGCAAAATGTTCATGAAATCTCATCTCAACCAATAAAAATTAGGAATGGCAACGCAAGCCTTTCGTTCTAAGTTTCCTGGTAGTGTAAATAAGAAGGTTATGTTCCAGGCCAGCCTGGGCATAAACTGGAAAGGCCCTATTTGAAAATACCTAAAACATAGTGGCTGGAAGCCTGGCTTGATTGGTAGAGGACTTACTTAGCAAGTACAAGGCCTATTTTAAGATCTAATAACTTCAGTTCTTCAAAAGATACATCCACAGAAATAAGAAGGCAGCCCACAAAGTGAGGAAAAATATTTTTATAAATATATTAGAGAAAGACATATCCTAGTCTATATGTTATTCCACAAGTCAATTAAGACAAAGAACAAAATATTTGAATAGGCACAAAAGAGAATGTTCAAATGGTCAATAAAAATGTTTAGGGTGATTAACTTAACCATCAAGGAAATACAAACAAAAATGAGGACTACACTGCTGCAGAATGAGTGAAATGAGAGGCAGACTAAATCAAATTTAGTTGAGGAGGAGTACAAATTCATTTAACCACTCTGTGAAACACTTTGGTAATGTCTTAAAGCTGTCCATAGGCATCTCCAATAGCCAGCAAACCTACTTCTAAGTACATACCTGATAGAAACGCATATCAATGGTCTCCAGAAACACGACACCTGACTCACAGAGGATTGTATAAAATGACTGTGCAGGCAAGGCAATTATAAATTACTGTAGACATTTTAGTTGCCATAGGTAGTTCAGTCCCTGCTTTGGGAAGGACCCAATAATGTATAAGGAAACTCAAAACAACAACATAAAAAAGCCAGCTACCCATCATTATTTCTGTAACAATTTCTGTAACTGCTTGGCCATACCACTTCATTATTTATTCACATGTTGTCTTCCCTATATTCTGAGCTATTGAATGACAGAACTACTTTTCTTCATCAAGAATTTTATTTATTTGTTTGGTTTTATTTGGGGCTGGGGATGAAGGAATGTGCTCCATCATTAAGCTAAACCTCAACCTCTGGTTGTGCATTTTAGGCACTAAAATACGTTAAGGAGAAGGAACACAAGACTGCTGTTTTCTTCTCTATCGCCCTCAGATTGTCTTTAGCATCTGTCACCCATCATTCAACTTTGAACCATCTTATTGAATTCAAATGATACTTTTCCCCAGGAGAAACCCCTTAAGCAGATGTTATGGCTTTTGTTCTATTCAGAGTGCCATGTTTTTTGTTTTCTACTGAATTCTTTTTTCATTTGCATGTATTACTTGTACAAAGGAGTTTCATTGTAAAATTTTCATACATACATATGTACTTTTATCTTACTCACATCCTTTATTACTGTTTCTTATTTCCTACTTTCCTTTTATCCTTATCCTACGACCTGCCCAATGATCCCCTTTAACTTTCATGACCTTGTGTGTAGTTCCACCCATTTCCCAGAAAAATTACATTATATTTCTTCTTCTTTATGGTTGAGTGAAACTCCATTGTATATATGTACCACATTTTATATATTAATTTATATGTTGATGGTCACCTTGCTGGTTCTATAGTTTGGCTATTTTGTAAATAGTGCTCAATAAACATGGGCATACAGCTATTTCTATAGTAAGTTTACTTTGATTTTTTTGTGTGTATTTCCAGATGCAATACCATTGGATCATATGGAAGCTCTTAATTCTTAAATAAATTGGTTATTGCCTTTATCATGAACTAAGCTGATTGTAGATGGATTGGGTTAAGTATCTCTAATTAAATCATTTTAAATGACTAGAACATATTATGACTGAACATCCATTAAATCCTTAAAGTATCCAGGTATCCAAGTTTGTTTGTTTTTTTTTTATATTTTTGTTCATTTATTCACATGTGCATACATTGTTTGGGTCATTTCTCCACCCTGCCCCCCCCCCAGGTTTGTAATGATAGACAAGCCCAGAAAATAAATGATTTAGATATTCAACATAATAAAAAATGTCTTGATGACAAAAAGAACATCAAAACAAGTCAGTCTCAAAATTAAAAGGCATATTCATTGTTGAATATGTTCACAAGAAATACTTCAAAACAAAACAAATTTTCTCAAGAGTTCAATTGCTTCTAGCTGATTTATGGACTCTAGCTTGAGAAAGTGCATATCTGAGAAGCACTGTCCCTTTCTTCATTCTTACCTTTCTTCCATTGTCTGTTTATAGTAATTCATGGTTTCAAATATGCTCAAAGTTCTTTCTAGCTACACAATTACAGAGCTACATGATTCATACTCTGATCACTTAGCTTCATAAAAGTAAGTAGCCAAAACCCTGGTGTCTATTTGCCACTGATTTCCAGCCAAACACATTTGAGAGTAAAAAATCAAGAATTACCTGATTCTTGTGAGCAGATGGAAGGCATCAGCAGCAAGCAGATGAGGTAGAGTGGAAAACCCATGGAATTGGTTGATTAAAAAAATCCTCAATAACAGTTGAAATACTTTATTTTCTAGCTGAACTCCAACACTGATACTGAAATTTCACCTAATTCTTCTAGGTGGAGCCAAACTCTGTTATCTCTTAATGAATAACCCTAAAATTTCCTCAAAACGTTAGGAAGTTTATACTTCCTGGTCGCCTAACCTTCAGATTTTTCAGATACTTAGTTGTATAAAGATATTATTCTAAGTATAGTTTGTATCTGTGACATTTAAACACAGGCTCTGAAACCTTATCTGTTGAATTGCAAGACAACTCAGTTAGCTGTCCTTTTGGGAGTATTACTGAGCCTTTTTGAATGTTTATGTCTTATTATTTATGCAAACAATAAATGTTAAGCTATCTCATCCCCAATGAGTGAGATTAAGTACATGACTGCTTTGCATTACAAATATGGTATCTGAAAAATATAACAAAGGTTATAGCACAAATAACTTGAGGCCAGAAAAACAATAGAAAATATCTAGGAAACTAAAGTTATTTGTTTTGCAGTTAAAAAAAATTAGAAGCCCTTAACTAGACTGAGACAAAAGAAGACTAAACAAAATCAAGAATGAATGGATAGTCATTCGTTAGAAGAGACTGCTATGAATAATTATACATTAACAAATAACAAAGAAAATATGTGCTAATTCCTAAATACTTCCAACTTACTAAAACTGAGACATGAAGAAATAGAAAATTTGAACATGCCAGTAACAGGTAAGAAGATTGAATCAGTAATAATTTTTCAAAACTCCCAACAAAATCCTGAGCTAGATTGTTTCATTTGTGAATTCTACCAAATGTTAACCCTCTCAAAAGTTTCAAAAAATTGCACAGAGTACATTCTAAACTCATTTATAAGATTAGTATTACCCTGATACCAAAGTCAGACAAGAACACAAGAAGAAAAATTGTAAACCAATATTCTTGATGAACATAGACGCAATATACTCAACAAAATATTGGCAAATCAAATTCAGCAACACATTTAAAGGATCATGAACCATGATCAAGTGAAATTTATCCCAGGGATGGAAGGATGACTTAACACATGAAATCAGTAAGTCTGATGCAAATCAATAACTGTAGTACGTCTTGTCTTAATGAAGGAAAAAAACCTAATAGTTCTCTCAATAGATGCAGAAAAAGCATTCAACAAAATTTAACATCTGTTTATGATAAAAAGCTATCAACAAAATAAGTATGTAAGGAGTGGTCCTCAATGTAGCAAAGATCATCTATGACAAATCTACAGCTAACATGATACTTAATGGTGGAAAACTGAAAACTTTTCCTCTAATATTGGAACCAAACAAGGATGCTCATTCTCACCCATCTATTCAATATAAGTCTGAAAATCTTAGAGCAGTAAAGCTAGAATAAGAAAGAAAAGGTATCCAAATCATAAAGGAAAAAGTTAAATTGCCACTATTTGCAGATAATAATAATCTTACAAAGATTATATTATTTATACTATTATTATTATAAAAACACTTTTAAAATGCCATAAAAATTATTTGCATAAACTAATTCAATAAAGTTATAAATAAAAAACTCAACTTGAAAATAAGTATCATTTCTATATAGTAACAAAAACTATCTGAAAAAAATTTTTAAAAATTTTTTTAAATCCCAGTTAGGGATTTAAAAAATATAGCACAAATCAATCAATAAATAAATTTAATCAAGAAGATGAATGAACAGTATGCAAAAGCTGTAAAACATTGATAAAATAAATTGAAGAAGACACAAACAAATGGAAAAGTATTTCAAGTTCATGGACTGGAAGAATTAATATTGCTAAAATATTTAATTTCCAAAGCAATCTATAGATTCAGTGCATTTTTTAAAACTCCAATAACATTATTTTATACAGACACAGGAAAAACAATTCTAAAGTTTGCATGTAACTACCGAAGGCATCACTACAGACCTGTGAAAACTAATAAATGAAGTTGCCAAGGTCAGGGGACAAACAGCAATATAGAAAACTCAGTTGCACTTCTACACAGTTGCAATGAATAATGCAAAAATTGAGAAACATCACATTACCATAGTATTAAAAATAATTAAATTTCTAAAAGTAAGTTAACCCAAAGAAGTACAATTATTGAGCCCCTCTGTTGTTATTTTAAATTTCCATTTGGTTTTTCTTTACATTACCTGTTTCTCTAAGATGTGTTATTTCTTTGCCTAGAGTCTATTTTTACATTGGCATCAACTGGGTTCATAGTTACTTGAAATATTTTTATGGTGGCTGTATTAAGATCCCTTTCAGTTAATTCCAATATTCATGTCATTTGGGGATTGGTATTTTGTTCTCATTCAAGTTGGGATAATCTTGGTTCTGTGTGATATGTGATTTCAGACTCCTAGTTGACCTTGTTGGTATTATAAAACCCTGGATCTTATTGAAATGTTAGGCTGTAACAGACCTCCTCTGACACTGCTCTGTTGGGAGGAGTGGGGAAACACTTGCTGCTGGCAAGTTGACATGAAAGTTCAAGTTCTCTAGTTAGTTGTCACTGAAAACACAGGTGAGGAAAGAGTGACTTCTTTCTGCCAGCTAAAAGAGGGAGTACAGGCTTTCTAGCAGGTCTCTGCTGATGGTCCCATGGATGGAAAAGAGAAGGGAGGCTCCCTGTGTGACCTCCACTGACAGCATAGGGATTCACTTTTTTATAGCTTAGTTTCTTTAACTGACCAGTCCCAAAATGAATTTACATGTTAACTTTGTGGAGATAATTTCTTTTGACAATGCCTATTATTTTTTGTGGTTGCTATAAGACTATGTAAAGACTGTGAATGCCTCTCTGACAGATAAGAAGTAAACTGAACAACTACTCCTAAGCATTTTTTCATTGTAAGAGGTACTTTATTTCAGGCAGAAACAGATGTTAAATATGGCTCTGCAGACACATGTATAGATGCAGCAACAATTCACATTTGTAGAGGTCTGTAGCTTACAAAACTTTATCATCATTTTTTTTTTAGTTTTTCAGGATTTTTATTTTTTTATCATTTTTGCATTTACTTACATGTATATATGTTATTTAGTCCACCTCCCCCTGCCCTCTGAGAAGAACCTGTTCCACCCTCTTGTTCTCCAATTTTGTAGAAGAAAAAACATAAGAGAAAAGAAAAACATGGTGGTATGCTAGTTTGAGATAAAGATAGCTATACAGGGAGATACCTTGTGTTGCTTCCATGAAGATGAGTATTACAACCCAAATTGGTTCATCTCTACCAGACCTCTTCACTACTTCCTTGTCCTCTTCCCACAGTGGCCTCTACCAGTTTAAGGTTACTATATTCTTTCCTATACAGTGAGCACATCAACCACATTCAAGTTCTTGGTTTCCTCCCCTTTCCTTATTCCTTCTGTGTAATAACATTACTGCATTTGTTTTAGGGCTATAATCTGCATATAAGGGAGAACATGCAATTTTTGGCTGAGCCTGACTAACTTCACTTAAGATGATGCTCTCCAGGTCCATCCATATACCTGCGAATGACAAAATTTCATTCTTCTTTGTAGCTGAATAAAATTCTATTGTGTATAAGTACCACATTTTCTTAATTCATTCTTTGGTAGTGGGGCATCTTGGCTATTTCCATAGCTTGGTTATTGTAAATAGTGCTGCAATAAACATGGGTGTGCAGGTGCCTTTGAAGTCCTGAGTCATATTCCTTCAGGTATTCCCCTAGGAGTGGTATTGCTAGATCATATGGCAGATCAAATTTTAGTTTTTTAAGAAGCCTCCATATTGTTTTCCATAGTGGTTATTCTAGCTTATATTCTCACCAGCAGTGTATAAGGGTTCCGTTTCCCCACATCCTGGCCAACATTTGTTGTTGTGATGTTGTTGATGATGGCTATTCTAACAGGAGTAAGATGGAATCTTAGTGTGGTTTTGATTTGCATTTCCTTTATGCCCAGGGATGGTAAGCATTTTTTCATGTGTTTTTTAGCCATTTGGACTTCTTCCTTTCAAAAAGTTCTGTTTAGTTTAGTTTAGTTGCTAATTTCTTTTTGGGTCACTGAATAAACTTTCTGGGGGAGGTTAGTTTTTTGAGCTCCTTGTATATCCTGGTTATCAGTCCCTTGTCTGATGTACACCTAGCAAATTTTCTCCCATTCTGTGGGTGGACTCTTCAATTTAGAGACCATTTCTTTTGTTGTGCAGAAGCTTTTGCAATAGATATGGGCAAGGATTTCCTCAGTAGAGTTCAAGCAGCTCAACAACTAAGAGAAAAGATTGACAAATGGGACCACACGAAATATTCCTAAGCATTCACTTGTATCTTGTCTTCTTTTTCGCTCCAGTCCCCGTCATTGACTTCTCCTCACTGACATTAAAGTGCCTTCACAAAACCTTTATGTGATCCAAAGTATAAAGAGGCATCTCACACAACAAATAATTATCTATATTTCAAATTTATTCCACAATTTCTCTCCAAATATTTTGTTGAGTAGGAATATAAATATTGACTTTCCAGTAATAGCACTAAGTAATTTCAATTAAAATATACTTTTGTACTGTTTAGAAAAAGTAATGAATACGTCATTATTCCTAAAAATTTCCTCACATATGACCCAGAAGTGAACATCCTCCTTTCTTGCCAACTCTTTTTTTTTTTTTAAAGACAGTATCTTAGACTGGCCTGATAGTAGTGATCTTCCTGCCACAGCCTTCCTAGGGCTATCTATCTGTCTTTATTTCATTCTCCTACTTGCCCAGAATAGCCATTCTGATTCTCTCTCCCTCTCTCCCTCCCTCCCTCTCTCTTTCACCCCTCTCTCCTGTCCTCCCTCAGCCATCAGCATTCTTATATATCAAAATCTCTACTTCCCTATCCTTTCCAGGAAACTCCCTCCTACCAGAATTCTGAGAAAATAATGTCCATCAGATCTTAGCCAGAAATAAACTCTTCCAAAGCTTATATTAACATAAGCAATACATTTTCTATATGTTTCTTTTAACTTCTTGTTTGTTTTTTTAGATAAACACGGTCTTAAAGCTTTAAGTGCCTTGGATATAAAGGGAAATGGTGCTGTTTTTCATCAGCCAATCAAGCAAAGGGTTATGTGCCTGAAGCCAATGGGTGCATAGGGGTGGGGCTTGGAGTAAGTAACTGTCAGTGAGGTTGCAGTTGGTCTTGGCTTTTCTGGAGTGAGTGCAGTAACTGGCCTCCACTTCTTTCTTACATCCCACAGGATTACCTCCTGGGGCTCTGGTTGGTGAGCCTCCTCTACCTTCCCTTTCTGGAAGTTGACTTTCCCTCTATGACTTTGTTTCTCAGCCTCTCCTCTCAGAGGAACAAATGCTCTCAGAATATTTCAGCTACAGATTCAGTCTGCACAGATTCAATCTGTGCCCTTTTTGGGCACAATTAAGGACCCTCTCAAAGATAACCCATACTCTTAACTTGAGTTTCTACCTCTTAGACCCTGCCCCCTCCTCCATTATACTTTTTATATCAATTCTTTCTGAGCTATTCACTGCTAAGTGAACAATGCCTTTGCATTGACAAGGACTGGAAAGCCAAGCCCCAGAGGAAAAGGAAATCTCACTGAAGCAATGAATCTCAGGTGCAGAACCCATCCTGAGCCAGAGGAAGGACTTTAGGAGGGCAATAGACACTGACCTCAGAGTCAGTGAGTGAGAAGGTTTAGTGTGGTGCAAGAACTTACTGAGGAGATGCTACAACTTTTGATGTTTTTATTTAATAAACATGAAGTTCAGGCAGATGACTGGGCTCCATTCCATAGTGTCCTTTTCAGGATACCTTTGTCACCTCATTGCAGCAAAATGTAGTGATTCAAAGAAAGAAAGACTTAACTTTCAGGGATGAATGAGAAAGAATTTTTGAAGGCTAACTGGCCTGTTAAGTATGATCTACATGCTATTTTTAAAAGGGTAGTCATTAGTTACCTCCACACAGAGAGAAAAAATGAGCCATTAGCTATTTATTTGGTAAATTAATGCATAGAACCTATATAGTAAACCATTATTATTTCCTTAATGAGATTTGGACTCATATGCTTACTCAAAGTTGCCAAAAGTCAGTTTATACTGAAAAAGGGTTTTAATTGCATTGAAAACCTGGTTACTCTCACTGTGACTTCTTTACCCATACCTCTAAAATATTAAAATACTATAATAATAGAAGGTACAAGCTAATTTAAGATGAAGGATTTTCTTGGGGTAAAAATTATTTAACATATTTAGGGTAGAAATTCAGGAGGACAGACCTAAGTATTTGCCGCACAGTTATAGCAAGATAGAGAAATTGTGTTGAACTTGATCATATATGTCCCTGAGTTTCAGGGATAATCAGTAATTTGTTAGGACTAAATGTGTAAACACTTATTAATATTTTTAAATAAACAATTTTAGAAATGAGAAAATGTTTATGGGAACATATATCCTTATTTCTAGTTCAGAAATCAATAGATCGTTTAACCCCTGTATTAAATTCTGACAGCATATATGATTGTGTAACGTCACCTGTGGGTGAAGGTCCTGACGAGGTCCCTAGGAACCTCCCTTGGCCCTTTAGGTCTTGTCTCTGAACACAGAATAAGAATTTCAGGAAGGGGCTATGGTTTAAGAGGTCTCTACTTAGAAAGATCCCACTTCCAACGACAATGAGTGACTGCTTCTTCTGTATCCATTACAGCCTCATCTTCACTCAGGTCTGCTCTCCTTATAGAGAAGACTTACTGAGTTACCAGTCACATAACTGTCCTTGCTTCCTCATAATATCCAATCTACAACAAACTTTCACTCACTTGGACCTAACCTAAAATTACCCAGCTAAAGTCCAGATCTTATAATGGGTTTTCTCTGACAGTCTTGCTGAATCATCCATGTCTGGGTCACACTCACTAAAGACTACAGACAAATTTTCTTCTCTTGCCTTTCCTCTTCCTTTCTTTTCTTCCCTTTTCTTTTCTATACCTTGAGACAAGGTCTTATTATATAGCCCAGGTTGGCCTGGATATAAGGCAGGCTGGCCTCAAACTGATGATCCTCTTGCCTCAGCTTCCAGAGTGCTGATATTACAGATGTATACCACTATGCTTGGTTGACAACAGATGTATTTTTGGTGATCTTTGGCTGAAGGCACTGATCCCTTTATCTCAGAATCTGACCAAGAATACTGAAAACATGTATGAAACTAAAAATTGAGCAATGTTGCCTTTGAATTGGGCAGATTACAGGGGTTGCTGACTACATATTAAAATTACTTAGGGAGCCCAGACTAAAACACAAAATGAATTAAATCAGAGTCTCCACGAATAGGACTTGGGCACTAGGATCATTAGAGTTTCCCAGGAGATTCCAAAAATAATGCAGGGAGAGAAATTACAGCAATTAAGAAACTATGCAGATGGAAAACTGAGGCCAGTGGAACTGAAGTTAGTTGCTAAGGCTTCCAACCTACAAGCAGAAGTCCATCAGACCTGTGTGTCCAGGCAGCCTGACCACAGAGTCCAATGTTTTTGTTAATTTGATCCAAACTTTGTCAATAGTGTCTGTAAGGCTTTTGATGCTGGTGAGATGAAAACAAGTAGAAAATACCATAAAACATAATTATAAAAGGATGAGCTCAACTACCTAAATCAAAGCCACTGGTTGATGTACATGTGGGTGAGTTTTTCTGCTTTTGAAACATTTGGATGCATATTTATTTCAAGAAAGGTTCATAATAAGCATGCATTAATTTAATTTTGTCCTTCAAAATATTGTTTTATAAGCAGAAGATAACAGAAGAAAACATAGTTATCAGAAATTGACAAAAATGTAGGCTCATGATAGGAAGTTTAATAATTACTGGTTGGTTGTTTAGCACAGCAGTTAGATGAGAAGTTAGTAGCAGACACTAGGAAATGTTAAGCTGCTATTATGAGCGAATCACAGGGATTCCATGAAAGAAGTGGAAAGTCTCTGGTGTAAAACTGCCTTCCATGGGAAAATGCAGGAATTTCCAGACCTTGGCTCTCATCTATTGTTTCCAACCCTTACCAAGGTTCTTGTTCCCCTTTTAAGAAGTGACCATGAGATAGAATATGAAATAATTTCCCTGCTTTAAGTAAATGATGTTGGTCTCAATATTTTTCAAACATTCTTGGTTACTGAATAAATGTATAAAAGGCCAGAAAACCTGGCTTATTGGTGTTCTGAATGAGATAAAAGAAGGTCATTATTAGCTATCAGCATGATTTTATTAATTTCTATCTGGATAAAATGATAGAGATCAGACTGTTCTCTTCCTCCATTTAAATTCTCACTTTGAGTAGCTGACAAAACATTCTTCCAGAGGCTCAGATAAGCTGAGGGCAAATCCCTTAGTGTCCATCCCCAGAGTTAAGTAACCTGTCCAGATTGTTGTCTCAATGGCAGATGCATGGTTAGATAGAGAATCCTTCTTTTGGATAGTTTGATAGATGCAGAGTGGATAATAAAGGAGTGGTACTTGGCATTGTAAGTGAACACAAGGTGGGATTCTTCCTTTTCCATTTCATTTAAGTTGAAATTATCACAAAAAGGAGAGCCATCCCTAATTGCAGGCTATAAGATAGCATTAAAACTAATGGAGAATTTTTTTTCTGTTTCAGAAAATCATCAGAAGGCAACCGAGAAGGCAAACCTTATGTTCCTTTGACCCTCTTTGAGTTTTGCAGAGAGACAGAATCAGATTCAGACAGACTATAAGAAACAGCAGGATGGCAAACAATACTGAGTTTTCTGGTTTCAGCTTTGGTAGCAAAATGTCTAACATATGGGTGGATTTTCTCAGGAGCATGTTTTTGAGTACTCCCCAAGACCTCCCTGAAATCATTCTAATACTGTCTTTGATCTGTACTGTTGGAGGTGAGTGCCACTCTCTCTCTGAGTTCATTCTATGGTATGTCTTATGAATGATACCATACTGAATTAAGGAAAGCTGCAGTAATATGAAATTAGAATTTTGTTCACAATCCATGCCTCATCACAATAATTTCAATACAATTAATCAAACAAAACAATAGCCTGCCCTTAAGAAGAGAAACAGAATCTGTCTTCCATATTCTCCTTGTCAGATTCAAAGTATTCACACCTTCTTATTTATTGAGTCAGACTTAGATTTTAACAATAGGTATAATTGAAACAAATAAGCAGAAATCAATGGTTGGGGTAAGGTGACCAATGGGGTTATACCCAAATGATAAATTTATGAGAAGAAAAAAATATTTTTGAAACTCGGTGGTTTTTCATTTTGTGTACTTTCTTTGACCCAGTTAAGGATTATATTACAAAGAAGCAGAAAAAATTAAATGGAAAAAACTATATGATACTATTCATTGAACTTTTACTTAGCGTACTTTGATAGCAGTGGTAAGCAAGGTTGAACAAAATTCATATTTATTGTGACCTCTCTAATGTGTAATATTAGTTTCCTACATATAAAAGGTAGAATTTTTTTTCTGTTGGGTAAATTATAGCTAGTTCCTTATTGTTCTTCAGTTAGAAGGTTTTACTGAAGTTTATTATGAACCTTTTATTGCAGGATTTATAACTAATCTCTGATTTATAGTGTGTATAAAAACTATCAGCGTTTCAGTGACAACCCAAGAGTCAAGGGGTAGCAGTGTTTACTCAAATCTAAAGAAATGATCCACATCACAGGAGAGGCAAAGCAGGAAACTGACAGATTAACAATTACACTGATTCTGTGTGCTGTAAATGTGAAAGAGAGTCTCGGTTACAGACAAATAGGAAATTAGTAATGGACTTTGTTTCATCATCCTCAGTGTTAAGAAATGGCGTTGTACTAAAAGTACTATAGATGTGATGTTACTTTGCTTTTCAGTAACAGTGTATTTTTTTGCAGCATTTGTGAACATGTACTTGAAAGACTTTCCAATTCCTCCTCCTGTGATATTATTTTTGATTGGATTCAGTTTTGAAATGCTAAGTTTTACATCTTTCCAGGTGTGTATAACAGATGAGTATTTTACTACATATCTAGGAACCTCATTCATGCAAAATTGTCTTAGGAAAATTTGCAAAAAATATACGTTCACTCACTGCTTTACCATTCAATGGATGTTTGTGGTGTAGAAAAAGAGCCAGGTCTAAAAGAAAAGAGAGGCCCACCTAAACATAGTCAAAACAGCCTAAAGTTAAGCATGTAGGCAATGCAGAATGAGGGTGCATAGCTTCAGACTCTGAGTGGCCAATGAATATTTAAATAGAATTCAGAAGCTTAGACGAGAAATTGACTAACAAGATAGGAACTTGGGGAGACTTCCTGCTGCTGATACAGGATGCCAGTAGCAAGATCATTCTGATATTGCACCAAATCTCTGTGCCTTATTTTAAAATGTTTTATAGGAGTTACGTAAGAACAGACTCAAACTTCTAAGTATGCCTATGGTAGAATATATCCAGAAACATAAATTGATATAAATGAGTCAGGTAGAGAAGAGGTATACAGAATGTATTATTGACACATTAAATAGTACTCTAAGCCAGGAGGTTGTGGCAAATATCTTCTGTAAAAGGTCATAGAGAAAATATTGTACATTGTGCAGCCTTCATGATTTATGTCTCAGCTGCTTAACTCTGGTGTTGAAGCTCAAGAGGTGTCACTGCTATGTCTCAATAAAAACTTTATTTACAAAAACAAACAATGGGCTGGATTAGTCCCAGGACTCATTGTTTGTCAATGCCTGCCCCAGTCAATCATCCTGAAGATGAAAACGTTTCTGAAGTTGATTGTCTTTCCCAAACAAATTTAGCCAGTAATGCTAAAAAAAATTATAGAAATCATATATTAGAAAAATAGGTAAAGCAAAAACAGCTGGCAGTGTGGTTCAAGTAAATCATCTACCCATCAAGCCCAGGGCTCCGGAGTTCAAATCCCAGTATTGTCAAAAAAATAAAATAAAATTAGGGATATGAATTAACTTTCCTCTGTAGTTGGTAATAATTTGATGGAAAATTCTGAAAATCCATCAGTTAGTACTTCAGCACTCATTACACTGTATTGTGTCTTTTAAATTTTTTCTTTCTTGTTGCTAGAAATAGGGGTACCTGGAATACATTTGCATGTATTCTATGCAAATGAAGTGATGGATAAATGAGAATAACAGACTTTTATGTTACTAGGTTCAAAAATATGCAGAAGCTATACAGTGGATGAGTCCAGAGTTATTTTTTGGTTTGTTTACACCAGTAATTATCTTCACGGTTGCATTTGACATGGATGTATACATGCTCCAAAAGTTACTGTGGCAGGTAAGTATTCTTTTTCAGCAATGCCATTCACTCGTAAACCACATTATTTATTTTCAGATTTGTAAAAATTTTGGTCAGAGAAGCAAATTCAGCTTTGTATTTTAGTGAACACACCCTGCCTTGGCAATTGTCAAGTATATTGAAGACCCGGGGGAAAATCACAGAGAAAACAAACAATCCCAGAAGTCTTACTGGCAGAACTTCATAAAAACTGTAATTTTAACTCTGAGATGCTATAAGAGAGCTACTATGAAGCATATAGTCTAAAGAAATTGTTGAGAAAAGTTGTTTTAAATTTCCACAGTCTAATGCTTCCTCTCCTCAGGTGTAAAAGAGCAAAAGCAGAGAAGGAAATGTACAAAAGCAGTTATAACCCAATTCATAGTGAGGTTTTAAAATCATGAAAGACTTGAACGGCATCAAGGAATGAACTTGAGATTGAATATTACAGACCACAAGTTGGGTGGATACTTCTTCCAAAGTAATCAAGACTCTTTTGTGAATAGAATGTCATCACCCAGACTGCATTAAAAACAAAACCATTAGAGCAATATATGTTAACCTAAAGCAGGCACATGGGGTTCAGACAAGTGACAAAAAGATGAAAATGTAAAGAACAGAAATCTGAAAGTGGGTTATGTTGGCTCAGATGATCTCTTCTGAGTTACTTCCTGCATCTTTGTTCAGGTTGTGGGTGTAGCAAAATTAAAGTGACCTGAATGGCCCCCTCATGTGTCTTGCTGGTGACTGCTATTAATGCTAGCTGGTTGTACAGCTCTAATAATCCTGATCTCCTAGTTTTTAAAAAGCAATATAAAAGCAATCTGATTTTTCTACAACAAAATTTCTTTGCAGATACTTTTAATTACAGTTCCTGGCTTTGTGGTTAATTATATCTTAATTCTTTGGTATCTGCAATCTGTGACTAAATTACCTTTGAAGACCATCCCATGGTTACTGTTTGCAGCTGTCCTTGTGAGTTCAGATCCCATGCTGACTGCAGCTTCGATAAGAGACCTTGGTAGATATATTTTTTCCTTTCAGTGTATTGAAAATATTCTATTTTAATTAATTAATCTTAAGATCTTTTGTTTGTGGCAGCTTTAAACTATGTGAAGTGGTGTAGTGCAGGTTTAGGGATTGAAGACTAGCACAGCTTCTAGAAGTAATGCTTAGGACAGAAAGAAATGCCAGTGAGGTGGGGTTAAAAAAAATCTAAAAATCATCCATATCCAGTCATAGACTGGGGCAGGAGACTATCTAGAATCCAGTTCTGGTGCACTACAATATTGCATACACATTGTGGTGACATTTCTGTCAATCAAAGCAATTGAGCAATAACAGAAGCAGACTGCCTTGGTTTTCCTTCTATCACCAAATTTACATTAGTTAGACTGGAACCACAGTTACAGAGTTGTTGGTTCACAAAAAGGGATTTTATTACGTAATAACATTTCCATCCTGTGGCCTTCAGCAAATCACAAAGATGCTCAATGTTACAGTTTTACCAGTACTGGCACATTTAATGGCAGAGGAAAACTTGGCATACCATCGAAAATAGAGGAAAGTTAGGATGGAAGAAAGTAATATCAGGATGCTCTCCACTCATGGAACTTGATTCTAAAAGCATTCTAAAGTAGATATGGGAAAGCCAAGTAATTTTTTTATTCTAGCTAGATTATCAGGACAATGAACTTAATACTCTGTTCAGATGCATTATAAAGCCTTGGACATGAATCTAATTTATTTTGCAATCATCGTGTTTCCTTTTCTTAAATTCATTCGACTTAAATGAATTCACTATGTAGGCCAAATTGCTGACTTTTTTTTAAAGTTAATAAATTTCATGTTTTTATCAACGCTTTGAAACAAATAATGAGATCTCCAGCTAATTATCTGACTTAAATGAACATAATGGATTACAATTAATTTGGTGTCTCATTATGGTTGTCTAGACTTAGGTTGGTAAGTTGAATTTTCTTAAAGGGAGTTTTGAAACATAGCTAATTTTTAAGCATGGAGGGGAAATTATGTAATAAAAATCTATAGCAAAGAACATCTTCTACTTGCTAATATAATTTTATTCTTTAATATTAATGAAGTTTTTCTCACTTCCAAAAAAATCTTCTCCTCTCTAACATACATAGGTCTTTCTAGAGGCCTCACGAATTTAATTAATGGAGAAAGTCTGATGACCTCTGTTATATCATTAATTATATATAGGAGTGTTGTGAATATTAACTTGAAAAGAAAACTTATGATGAATCATAGCATGGGTAAGGACCATTTTTTTCCTTAATTTCTTAAAATAAGAATTGTGCATTTTCTGAAAGTTGACATGGATTTTGTGATATATTATTACAGATTATGCTTATAGAAATAAAATAGTATCAGTGTGGTGATTTATACTTTGTGTAGCACCACCACATGTTCTGTATTTAATATTAGTTATGGTTTTGCTATAAGGTTGGGTTGGGTCTTTTCATGAAGATGTTTATACGAGCAGCATCCCACAGGTGTGCTCTGAATCAAAATGCTAGACAACAAGGATGAAAAGGTTTTTGTTAGGTTTGGTTTTTGTTTTTTTAATGTGCTGAGGAACAGCTTAGAGGATAAACCAGGTAGTTTATTAATTAGTAGGGAGAGGAAACAGCTTCCCTTCTCTTTTCCCAGAGCCTCTCTCCCATGAGGCAATAAATGAAGAGGTCAACTCAGAGGAAAAAGTATGCATTGTGACAACATGCAGGTCCAGGGAGCAAGCAGAAGACAACAAAGTGCTCATAGGTTCTGTTACTACTTTTCAGATGCTCCTGAACTATTAGTGATCTTTTTCCTCCATCATGTGTACATATGTGTATAGAATAAATGACATATGTACATTATAGTGAATTATTATAACATGTATGACTGCATAATAATAACACAGGACAAGAAATACAGTATTATCTGCATTCCTACAAAACATCTTAGTTCTCCTTTCTGGTCAAAATTCTGTACCTAGAAAGATAGGTTTTATATGCTTTTTATGTGTTGTCTTTTATGTTTTTTATGTGTTCTTTCTGAATCACTGGGTGGTAGGAGTCCAGACAACACCTTCAAGGTGTCCTTGAAATTGGTATCTTTTCATTATAATACTAGGAGGTAATTTACCTTTTTTATTATATTGGCATTTACACTGATTTTGGAAAGGCAATGATTGCAGTCTTTTTGAGAAATTAATAATGAGTTCTACTCACTGGGTGTCTTCTTTGCTCTGTGGCCCTCAGAAGCATTGTCTCATTCAAGCACCACCACCTTTTTTCCCCTTGAGAAGAGTGTTTGTGAGGTGATTTTGAATCAGGTCTTGCCCACCAATGGATCTGTATGGTACCAAATAATCCATTTTGCTGAAGTGTGATCCTGCCACTACCTCCTCTGCTTAGAAATGAAGACTCTCCCAAGCAATCTTTCCAACCACTCAAGAAGAGGAAGTTCTAGGTGTAACCTTGAATAACACCTCATTATTGAGCATCCATTGTTTAACTGGATTCCAACCAATTCCTGCCTTACCTATTTATGTTTAAACTCAGAAGTGAAGACTATTCTTTCCCAAGAAGGGACATTCTGGGACTACCATACTCTTAACTCTTCCTCAAAGGAGCTGGCCCAGATAGCCAACAGTTACCCACTTGGGCAGAAGAAACTTTCTGCCTTTGCAATCCAGTAACAAAAGCTCTGCTGGAAGAGAAAGAGAACAATAGCTTTTTTGTCACCCACTTGGACTTGGAACTTGAGCAGGCTTGAAAGAATAATTTCCTTTAAGAAATAAAAATGATTGATAAGATTTCATAGTAAATATTTCCTTAAAACTTACGCAACTCAGTATTTGAACAGTGATAACTGCTTAAAGTTATTACACACTCCATAGTAAGGAAAAATTAACTAGAGTGATTGCTCTCAGAGTTCCCGCCTTATCCAATTTGGATGTTAGGAGTTTAAGAACAGTGTAAGTAATAATGGATTTGCTTTGAGGCTTTTCCTGGCTTAGCAAATCTAGTCAGCAAATAATGTTACTTATTAAAAACTATTTTCCTTTCTTAAAGGAGCAAGAAACTTTTGAACATCTGACTCCAGATTCCTATGTGCTTCTGAAACCAGTCAGACTCTATCCTCTGCTTTAGTGACAGGAAATGCTGGATTCAGGTTGTTCAGCTCCATGCCTAGAACTCATGCTGCTGAGAGGGCCACTCATGGACCTATCTAGCCATGTCCAGACTGTCCCTGGAGATATTAATCTTTCTACTTGGCTGATCTCCAAACCATGACTCTTTTTAAGTTATGGGGCAAGTAAGAAGGACTCCAAATCACTTCAAGACTCATAGAGGATTCCTTTTCCTTCATTCTGCCACCTCAGAGCACCATTTTAGGATTTACTGTCCAAACTTGGCCTTGCTTTTTGTTGGGGCAGTTGTTGCTGGTTTTCTATCTGCCATCCTTTGTCTTGGCTTAGTTCTTGCTTTTCCTCTTACCTCCTCAGGCTCTCCTGATCCCAGGACCCACTCATCTGTGATTCAAATTTTGCTCCACTGTTCTTAGTCCTGTAAAAGACTTCCTTTCCCTTGGCATGCCTGGTTCTAGCAACTGAGTCTACCTTGGGCTCAGGGTTCTTGTTTTTTTGGGTAAGGCATCATAACTTTGCTTTGCGGAAAGCAATTAAACAAAATCTAAGAAATATCAGTAACAACAAAGAAGCAGTTATCTTATGGTACAAACACTTCTAATTTTATGACCTAAAGAAGTAATAATAGAAGCACAAAAATGTATGTTAAAAGATATGCACTGCATCATTGCTTATTGGGAGAAAGTTAAATGAAATGCCTACAATAAAGAAGCAATGAGTCACTTTGACAGACCAATACAATACAGGAGATTCTACCAGCAGGGACCCAGAGGCAATCCAGCTTCTGTTTCCTCAGCCTATTATATTACATCTTGAAGATGAGTTTCATGAGTTTGGGACTTTCTACTTCTGGTTTATTTCTGTATCTCCAAGATTTTATTACACCATTCACTAGTCACTAAATGAATATATACTCCTTAATGGAGGTTGAATGAAAAACGTACTTAAGCAAAACTGACCAACCTAACAAGCTAAAGTGTGATTTTTGGTATTGAAAAAGAAACTCTTTAAACTTAGAAAAAGGAAAATACTGAACATATACCCGAAAGGCAATAAGCTATTTAAAAATTAGTAATGTTTTTTAATTGACAAGTCATAATTATATAGGTTTGTGTAGTACCATGTGATGCTTGATACATTATAAAATGTGAAATGATTAAATCAAATTAACTAACATATCTACCGTCTTTCTTATTTGTAATTTTTATGACATTTAAAATTTATACTTTTAATTATTTTGAAATGCAGTACATGATTATAGACTACATCACTCCTGCTGTACAATCTGTCTCCAACCTTATTCCTTCTGTCCATATGAACTTTGTACCCTGAAATCAATAATTCCCCATTCCCTCCTCCTTACACCTTCCTCTCAGCCACTAGTAACCATCAGTCTCAACTCTTATGAGTTCAATGTTGCTAGATTCTACATATAAGTAAGATTATGTGATACTTTCCTTTTTGTGCCTGGCTTATTTTGTTTAGCATAATGCTGTTTAAGTTCATCCATTTTGTTGCAAATGATAGAATTTCCTTCTTTAAAAGGCTGGGTAGTATTCCCATTTGTGTATATATACCACATTTTCTTTATCCATCCATCTACTCTTAGACACTTAAGTTGACTGCATATCTTGAAAACAAATATCACAATTTAAAAATAGCGAAGGATCTAAACAGACAATTCTCAAAGGAAGATATGTAAATGTACAATAGATAAATGAAAATAATACTCAACAGCACTAATCATTACTGATCACTAAGGAAAGCAAAAACATAATGAACTATCACCTCACACCTGTTGGAATGGCTTTTATCAAAAATTTAAGACATGGCTAGCTGTAGTAGCACACAAAGTGCTGGAGCAGGAAAATCTCAAGTTCAAGGTCAGCCTGGGCTAGATAGCAAGAATCTGCCTCAAAAAAAACAAAAGAAAAAACGCAAAAGGTAACAGGTGTTGGTGAGTATGTGAAAAAGAGAGAATTTTATACACTGTTGATGAGAATATAAGTCAATGTAGCCATTAAGGAAAACAGTATGGAGGGTCTCCTCAAAAAGCTAAAAACTAAAAATAGAGCTACTACCATTGCCTCTGAGTTTATGCCCCCCCAAAACTGAAATCAGTATGTTGAAGCAATATCTGCACTGCATTGTTCATTGCAACAGTGAGGTAACTTTAGAAATAATGATAAAAAGAAAAGTTGAACCAGAGTATCATTTAAAATTAAAGGTATGGAAGTTTTATTAATGATTTTTTATTTCTCCCTTTTCTTATAGCCCGTGATGTCATGTCCGGAATTTGGACAAATTTTATACAAAGTTTCTTATTTGGAATTATAAATTCAAAACTGATGCAATTGTGGATGTCCACCGTTTTTGATGATGATGTTAATCACATAAGTCTCATCTTTTCAATTCTGTACCTTGTCTTTTATGTTTGTAAGTGTGGGGTTTGTGCCTAAAATTAAATGTCAGAAAGATTCAAAGTAAAAATATGCAACAATTTAAAAGATGTGAATATTTATACACAGAAAACAATATGCCAATATATATAAAACAAGTATTATAAAAGAAGAATTTGACAAAGCCACAATTACAGCAAGTTGTTTATTATGCCATGCCTAGAGAAAGAATTTCATAACCGATTGAACAAAAAATATGGCTATAAAAGGTATAAATATCTTTGATTTGTAAGATATATATGGAGTTTTACTTCCCAAGACAAAATAGGTATCTTTTACAGGTACAACAAGCCATCTGTATCTACAGGTTCTGCATCACCCACAACTGACTTGTTTCCACAAGTGTCCATGCTGAACATGTGGAAACATTTTTCCTTATCATTATCACCTGAACAGTACAGTAAAGAAACTATTTACATAGTATTTACATTCTGTGAGGTATTATAAGTAATCTAGAGATAATCTGGTGAATATGGGAAGATGTGTGTAGGTTATATGTAAATATTTTGCCATTTTGTCTAAGTGATTTGAGTAACCTCAGATTGTGGCATGGGGTTTGGGAGTCCTGGGACAAATTTCCTGGGAATGCCAAATGTTTTCTGACTGTTGAATAGATATTAACAGGAAAACATATCAACAAAATCCTATACATTGTTCAAGCATGACATAATTAAATATTACCCACAAAAAAGAAGATTTGAAAAAAATCTCATTCTAAGTGCCTATAAGCTAAATATACTTTTCAGGCTAACTCTTAGATCAAAAAGAAAGTCAAAGTAGAAGTTATAGATCAAATAAGACTAACTTAGAAAATCTGTGTTATTATTAGTCCATTTGCCACAGTAGCCTCCTCGAGAAGCATGGCAGTTACTGATAATGAAACACATCATTATCTACTAACACAGACCAGAATCGTCTTCATCCCAGGTTTTCCAACAGCCCCAAAAAGGACTGGAGTGGGCACGTGAGATATGTCTTCCTATTGCATTTAGGAGTAGGACAATAGTATTCACATCTATGATTGCAAGTAGTTTTGGAAGCTCTAGGTAATTCCATGGGAATAAAAAAAAGAAGTTTATACATAGTTCTCAAGAGAAAATGGTTATGTAACATTTTTAATTTATAGAAAATGTAGTAATTAATCAATAAACTAAGCCATCATGACTATTTAATGGCTTCATACATAATGAATGTACCAAAAAGTAAGTAGTGGTCTTTTTTTTTAAGTAGTGTTCTTACAAGCCAGAGGTAACTAGTTAAGAAATATATGGGAAATTAGATTATTTTTATAATTGGCAAAATTTTAGAAAGGAATAGATTTAGAAGTTTGGACACACACATAGAAAATTTCAAAAGTTAACACAGTTTTCCTCTAACATCATCTCATAAGTAAGTGCAGTCTGAAGATTAAGGGTTACACTCAAAAATAATTTTAAAGTTCTAAAGTCAAGATGTCTCATCTTTACATTTAGAAAGAAAAGTGCCAGTATAGACATTTCTGAAAACAAGTGATAGAGAAAATGTAAATCTAACCTACAAGGACTTTCACTCTGATATGGCTTAATGTGTATATTATTAGTATATTCAAGGTAGTCATCATAAATATTTTCCTTACTTCACCATTGCCTGTAAGTTACAATGACCTGTCCAGGAATCAGTCTTCTTAATTCACCTGTGTTTACAGTTCCTTCTTCTTTTCATTATCCAAAATTGGCAACTAAAATGTTTGTTTCTGCCTTAGGTATCATTTTCTAGCCAGAAAAATAAATAATATGGAACTTGTAATCTTCCACGTCTAGAAAGGAAGACTCGATAGCATGACAATGATAGTGTCTTATATAGTTAAACGTGGTTCATGATTCTATGAGATCTGACAGCTGCCTCTGTTTCCTCGCTTTCCCATCTCTCCAACTTAACTCTTACCAGTTGTTTCCAACAAGCATCTTTTAATTCTCAAACTGCCTTTTGAGTTTCTTTCTCAAGTAGCCTAACAAATTATTTCTTTCTAGGCAAATGCAATACTCTGCCCAGTGGAAAGTCCTGTCCGAAATTTCTTTAAAATTGTACCTGGTCCTGGTGGTAGAATTATGGTTGTCCTGTCTTTCAAAAAATATAATCTCTTTACTGAACCATATTACTTGTATTTTCACAGAGATAATTTACTACTTTGATAAGCTTAAGGAATAGACAACTCTAATAGATGTACTCTTGAAAAACTTCATGAATAGGTTTTTATGTTTTTCAGTACCCCTTAACTAAGTGCACCAAAAAAGATTATACTGGGGAAGTAGATCCTTATTGGGTCTCTGCTGGCCCAAATACCTTATTCCTGTCACAAACCATTTGTCTCTTTTACTCTCTTCCAAGAAGCAGGTAAATGAAGTAGGTTGGGCCATAGACAGTTTAACTTACCAGGCTTATTTCCAATTCAACCCTGCAGAGTTTCTGTGAAGCAAATAGACCTGTAGAGGTCATTCTAGTCTCACTAGGGTATATGAGCTCCATGTATCTGTGCCAATAACCTGAAGCCAAAGTTGAACAGGAATGTCCATTATAGACTTTACTAAACAGTGGAGTGTGAGTCTGAGGAAGAAAAAGAACAATGGGTGGTGGAAATAATTCACAATATTTTCCAGTTAAAACCAAGTGGGATAACCTCTCTATAAAGTCAAGATATCTAGTATTTTCACTGAGGTAAAATTTGTGCTATTGTTGATATTAATACTTTTGTGTCCTTTTAAAAAATAGGTGAGTTAGTTGGAATGTCTGGAATATTTACCCTGGCCACTATGGGACTGTTTTTAAATGCCACAAGTTTTAAACCAGGAGTTGAATCACTTCTTCTTGAGTGAGTAGCTAGCATAGTTTCACTATGTTTTGAACAATAGAAACTAGAATATTATAATAGTAACTCTACTCTCTTAGATCTCAGTTACTGAAACTTCTCTCCTACTATGATATGCCACCACCCCATGTCCACCACCCCATGTCAACTACCCACTTCCATGGACCACTGAATGATTCAATTTCAATAATCAACTATCAACTATCTAAACTATCTAAACTATGACATGCACCAACTATACTCACCAAGGTAGTAGAAATCTAAGGTAATAGTGGTAACCTACTATATGCCACAACAACCTGCAGCAGGTCCATTCTACTGTCTCAGAGAGAAGGCATGTTATCTCCTGTCTTTTCATGTGTGCCCTCTAGTCCCGAATTCTGACAACTCTTCAACCAAGAAGACTATGATTCATCCATCAGATGATCTCCATCCATGTTATATCCTCAGTTCTTTCTTATCCAGCTCTTTTTGAAACCATTAATAAACTTTCATCTCATTTGTTCAGAAGTCAGAGATGTTTTAATGGCAAATGAAAAGGTGCTCAAAATTACTAATCATTAGGGAGATGCAAATCAAAGCTAAAATGGGATATCACCTCACATCTTTTAGGATGTCTGTTATCAAAAAGACAAAGGATAGCAAGTTAATGGTAGCAAGGAAACAGGGAAAAAAGAACCCTTGCATTTTTTTGCATTGTGGCTGCAAAAAGATGAAAAATAGAATGACCATACTCTCCAGCAATCACACTTCTGATTATAGAGCTAACAAAAATGACATCAGAATCTTGAAGTAATATCAGCATTTCCATGTTCCTTGCACACTATTCACAATGGCTAAGGTGTAAAAATAATCTGAATGTTGACCATAAATGGATAATGAAAATGTATTAGATGATAAATGTATTAGATTAATAGAAAGAATGTAGATAGTAGATAGATAAATAGATAGTTCGATTAAAAGGTAGATAAACATAGAGACATTTATGTGTGTGTTATGTATCTGAAGAGTCTGGAATTTTATATTATATGCACACATAATGGAATATTATTCAGCCTTAGAAAGAAAGAAAACCTTCAATTTTCTGTTTTTCAGGTTTTTTTAGCATACATTAATAGTACAAGGGGGGTTTCACCGTGATATTCCATAGATGAATATCGTGCAATTTAAACCAGTTTATGCCCTCTATTATATTCCCTTAGCTCTACCCCATCTCTCCTCCTTTTTAAAAGAGTTTAGTAGGTTTCATTATGCTGTTTTCATACGTATGTAGTATTTTGATGCACTTCACTCTTTCATTTTCAATGACACAGGTGAACCTGGAGGACATTAAGCTAAGTGAGATGAACCAGGCACAGAAAGTCAAATATGATCACACTTACATGTGAACTGTAAAATAGGCTCACAGAAGCACAGAATTGAATGTTGTCTCCCAAGGGTGGAGCGTGCAAAAGGAAATGGAGAACAAAGTCTGTTTTATTAGATGAATAGGTTTTGGAGATTCAATGTTTAGTTTGGTGGTGACTATAGTGAAACAACAAAAAAATCACTGTATTGTATGCTTGGAACTTCCTAAGAAGGTAGATATTAAGTGTTCTCAGCACATGAGATCCCACAGAAAAAGTGTGTGTGACGTCATGAATATGCTAACTAGCTTAATTGTGGAGATCATTTCATATACCAAAATGTATGCATGCTGGGTGGTGGTGTGACACGTCTGCAGGAGGTGTACATAAGAGGACTGCTGTCGAAGGCTGGTCCCAGGCAAAATCAAGACTCCATGTGGAAAATAACTAAGACAAAGGGCTAGAGGCATTGCTCAAGTGACAGAAAGCTTGTCTAGCAAGTGCAAGGCCCAGAGTTCAAACCCCATACCACCAAAAACTAATAAAAATAATAAATGCCTTTTTAGAATAATTTTTAAAATTTTAAAATTTTTTAAAAAATTCTTTCACATCTTCTGAATACTAGCGAGATTTTAGGATCAGCTTAATTCTATCACTGTGTGAATCAGACTAGTTAGTATTTACTTTAAAAGTAAATGATTTTAGCTCTTCATAAAGAAACAATGATTTTTCCTCCAATCAGTATTTTCAAGTTATATGAACCATGATATTGGATGTTTAGTTTTATCAAATAGCATAACTACAACCTGAGCATTTTTTTCCAGATACAATGAAGAACAAAGATACTAATTTACACATATAAACTGACTTAAATTGTATTAGAAGTATTTGTTTGCTTGCCTTAGTGTCTCTTTCTTAGCAGGTTAATTTTAAGCTTCATTGAGTGTTTATAAACGCTTTATTCATCTTTATTTTCTTGATAACGAACGGCATAATTTATCATATAGATAAGCTTGCAATAAATGTGTTAGATTAATTGTAATTAACTATACTTTGATTTTTTTCTGAAAAATACAGATTCTGGAATTGTCTGTCATTTGTTGCTTTTCTTATGGTATTCACTTTCATTGGACTTCTAATTCCTGCATATGTATACTTACATATATCATTTTCTGATATATATTATTCATTAAATATCTACTTCACACTGATTATTTTAAGGTAAGAGTACCATTTGATTTTTTCTACTTATAGGAAATTGAGCAAGTCTGAAGATATTTTTTGAAATAAAAGAGTTTACACTTCAGTTTGAATAGTTGACTCAAATTTTTCGAGGAATCATCAGCAAATTAATACTTAGTAGTTTTCTCAGCTTTCAACTGAATTTCAAAATAATGCAAGCACTTTGTAAAACTTGTAAAAATTACAAAGAAAGAAATCTTTCATAATCTATTAAGATTATTAAGAGCCATCACTATTAGTATTTGAAATATTGAAAATTTCTATGCGGTTTCATGAAGTTAAGCACATATCATAAATAAAAATCTCTTGATTTTGTTCACTATCATATTACAATTTCTATGAAATGAAAATTATAGTTAAAAGTAGCTTTTTAAGAAATCATAAAGAAGCCCTCTTTGTAAAAGACATTTTTTCCTGAAATAAAAATTTTGGAGTCAGTTATTGCAATTTTAAAAGGCAGGGAATCTGCCCAGGCAGCTGAAAAGGAGATGATATTAAGCTACTAAGTGCACAGTAGCTGGAGCCCACAGCCCTTCCATCTCCAGCCTTCAAACTGCTAACATTCTACTTCCACCTGGGAAATTTTGTTGGATTGTCAACATCACCTTCGCTAGTGCCAAGTAAACAGAAATGAGTTCCAAATTATGAGAAAAATTTGGTATAAATAGAAAAGAACCAGCCAATATTGGACAGATTTACCAAGGTTAAAAGCTATGAAGAAAAATAAAGGGGGACATTTTCTTATTTCTTATTAACTGAATTTTTGTACTTGTTGTTGGGGTCCAGAATGTATCTACAAACATCTGCAAATTTTTGTCTTTTCCATCTGAGGAAGCACCACTCCAGGGTAATGTAGAATATCCTACTGCTCAACTGGTGGCGAGAAACAGAGAGTAATGGCATTCTCTTGGCATGTCTCTCTGTGGGACCCATCTGCCTTCCTCCGCACCATGACAACAGTGTGTGAAAGATGGCTCATTTGTTTGAGAGTTAGTAATTCTGTGGGGAATAGATTGGAATAGAATTAGACTGAAATGAAACGAGAAATGTATGACAAGAATAACTTTTTAAAATTTTTTTTCTCTTTTAGACTTCTGGTCTTGCTATTAATGAGCCCCCTTTTGTTTCGACTCGGTAATGGGTTCAGCTGGCGTTGGGCGTTCATCATGGTGTGGAGTGAAATGAAAGGGATGCCAAACATAAACATGGCACTTCTGCTTGCCTACTCTGACCTTTCTCTTGGAACTGAGAGTGAAAAATCTCAAGTAATGAAAGCTGCTTTTTCTTATTTGAATACTAGATAAGAGTATTACTGTGTATTAAAAATATGGCTTTTTGTTTAAATAGCTTGAGGTGGGCCGTTGGAGTGATTTATCTACGATGGCAAGACTGGGGAGAAGAGGAACAACCGGCCACCTTCCTCTTCCCCATTCTAATTTAGAGCTTCTTTACTTCCTTCACAAGCCTTAGCATGAAGAAGGCCAGAATTAAACTCATAAATCTTTAAAATAGCACCTGTTACATACCAGGCATGCAATTGGTTTCATTTTATTCAATCTTAATATGCACTCAAAACAGTCAGAAACCTACTTATGGGTAACGCTATTGTCTTCTGTAACTTTGTAAGGCTCTATTTAATAATGCTAGGAAACAAAGCATTCTAATTGTCAGTTGAAGTTATCTCTAAGACAGTATAGCCTAACAGAACAGAGTGGGATAGCCCTTGCTCCACTGTGTGTCTAGGCAAGATAATTACAGAAAGCTCTGTAGAATTTCCTGTGTGGCAGGGTAATTGTTGTGTGTCTAATTAAATAGTAGTTCAAACATTAAAAGACTTAACTTTAACTGTTGTTAAAACATTATCTAATTAAATGACCTCCCTCTTCTTTCCTATCTCCTTCTACCTGCCCAAACAATCAAAATCATTGTGATCATGAATGTTTCACACAGAACTGGATTGTTGAGCTCAGCTACTATTTTCTCTGTGTCCACAAGAAAGCTATTTAATTCCCACTCCCTCCCCTCCGTGTCAGTTTCCTCAGTCAAAACAGATTAATAATAGTGACAGGGTTCAGGAAGTAATTTTTTAGGGGGGTAGCCCTAATTTGTAGTGTTTGTCACTTAGGTCTCTCCATAGGTCAGTTCACAGTGTGGCGGCTTCTTTCAGAATGAACAAGCAAGAGAGCCCACCCCAAGAAGGAAGCCATAGTTCCAATTGTGATTTCATTCAAAACATGGATGAGGTGCATGCAGAAGAGAGAATCCCAAGTCTTTTCATTGTGCCTAACATTCAAATTCATTGCCTACCATTAGTATCTGTTGTCATAGTACAACCTAGCTTAATTTACATTGGGAAATATAGAATTATATTACAATTAGTTATCTGAAATACTTACTTTATATGTGTTTTTTCAATTGTAGGTATTATTTCATGGAGTGTCAGTATGCTTAATTACTCTGATTGTCAATAGGTTTATTTTGCCAAAGGCAGTTACTAAACTAGGTAAGCCCTGCTAATTAATATTTTGAGTGAAGAGAAAAATATTCTAAATATGCTAAAGAATACTAATAAAGAGTCCATATAAATACAAGTCAATGGTTTCTAATTGAGAAGGAAATTGAATCTCTATGCAAGGCCTATTAATGGCTCAGGCCAATAAACTTATTTATTTAAAAAGATTACTTATTTACATTAGGCTAGTGTAAAATAATACTTTATGTTTATCCAATTATTCAACAAACTTTTATTAAGAGCCTTCTAGATGGTAGGCACTATTTGAACTCATATTATATTCTGAAGACAAAGTCTAGATGACAGCTTACATTGAAATGAAGAGAAACAGTTAATGAGGTAATAAGGTAACAGAGTCACGTGTGCATCAACGCAAGTGAACTACATGTGAAATAAACACAACCAGCACAACATTCCCAAGAAGCTAGATGCTGGGTGCGCTCCAGAACAGAAAAAGGTTTGCAGGGTTGGAGCCTTAGAGAATAATAGATAATTCCTCATATGTGCTTAATTGGCTCATGTGATTATGGAAACCAAGTCCCAAGATCTCAGTCTGAGAGCCTCAGTCAGCGGTGTAACTTCTAGCCAGAGTCCAAAGGCAGAAGAAGATCAACGTCCCAGCTTAATGACAATCAGGCAGAGTACATTCTTTCTCACATTTACTTCCATTCAAGCCACCAAAAGATTGGATAAGGCCACTCACAATGGAGGAAACACTGTTTTAATAGATAGAGAAACAGCCAGAAACAGCCTTACAGGCACACATAGAATATTGTTTTACCAAATGTCTAAGGTACCCTGTGGTCTAGTCAAACTGATGTATAGACTTATCCATCATCCCTCTGTTCCTGTTTCCTCACCTGTCAAAGTAGCTCAACTCAAAAGACGGTTATGATCATTAAAACTGTGGGCATGTTTCCCAGCACACGGTAAGCACTCAATAAATATTCGCTATTACTATTATAGCTTAGCAAAAGCTAAGGAGTAAAGTTAAAAAGTAAGGAGCATGAAAGTAGAAAAAAATCAAGTTATTAGTATTCCTATGATTGAACAATTTATGTTGAATCTTTATTTAAGGTTTAAAACACTTAATGGCAATACATAAAGAACAAAAGGAAGTTTTATAATCCTTACCAAAATGGTGGTGTTCCAGGAGAGTGGAACAGGTCCTGCCTGGGGCATTGGTACCAGTGGGAGGTAGGAGGAGGTGGGGGAAGGGCATGGGAGGGTGAATATGGTGTAAATACTGTGTACACATGTATGTAAATGGAAAAATGAGACCTGTAGAAACTATTCCAGGAATGAGGGGAGGGGGGAATAAAGCAGTATGATGGAGGGGGTGAATTCAAGTATGATACATTTGATACATAGTAAGAACTTATATAAATGCCACAGTGTACCCCCACCCAGCACAATTAAAAAAATAAATAAAAATAAAGTAAATTATGAAAAAAGGTGGTGTTCCTCCTGATTATAAATATGTGCTCTTTGCATCAAAGGTCTTCGAGATGTTACATCAACAAAATATAAATCTGTTTGCTATACTTTTCAACATTTCCAAGAGCTAACCAAATCTACAGCCTCTGCCCTCAAATTTGACAAAGATCTTGCTAATGCTGATTGGAACGTGGTTGAGAAGGCAATTTTGCTCCAAAATCCATATGCGGTAAGCAAGTAAAATCTTTCTATTCCTTCAAAGTACATGTTATTGTCATTAAGAATGAATCAAGTCATAAATATGAATTCACAATTTTTAGTATTTGTAATTCACAGAGAAGTTGTAATGATACCTCCTTATTTACCAGAATACCAAGGTACCGGAGAAGGTAGTGAGCCCTAGAAAATGCCTACTTTCTCACCAGATTGGGAATTAGCAGGGAGGGTCTTTGGTTCATTTGTTTCTTCAGCATTTCCTTAGATAATTATATACGCTAAGTACTTGGTAGACCCTGGTTTAGGGTTAATAGTATTTTTAATATAAAATGGAATTCAAAGTCAGTATCATAAGTTTAGCTGTGAGTGAAATTCACCTTTTGCTTCTGAGACGTAGCTTAGACCTTCTGTGGTTGCTTATTCATTTAAGAATTAACCCACACGCCCATCAGTCATCCTTCCATAAGGGAAAAACATAAAACTTGTCCTAGAATCTTCTCAAAGCTGCTGCTACCTCCCATGCCTGATTTTATTGCAATATTCTTTTGTATCACAACACAAAGGGACAACTTCCAGGAGAGCAAAGGTGAGATAATTAGACTATGTGAAACAGGCTCCCCTAAAATCCATTTCAAGTCCACTAACTGTGCTTGCAGGAATACTGCCAGGATTCTGGCTGGGACAAGTACAAAGTCAAATCAAAGGATTTCTTCAGTAGAGCCCAATATCTGAGTGTGGACTGACCTGCCTGCATCAGAATTATCTGGAACACTTATTGAAATATTCATTCCCTAGCTCGTAGCCTGGAGATTCTGATGCAGGTAATCTGCAGATTCCAGAAAGTGAATGTGTGCGTGCGTGTGTGTGTGCGCGTGCGTGTGTATGTGTGTATGTGTGTGCGTGCGTGTGTGTGCGTATGCGTGTGTGTATGTGTGTGTATGTGTGTGCGTGTGTGTGCGTGTGTATGTGTGCGTGTGTCTGTGTGTGCGTGTGTATGTGTGTGCGTGTGTGTGCGTGCGTGTGTGTGAATGCGTGTGTGTGCGTGCGTGTGTGTGTGAGTGTGTGTGTGTATGTGTGTGCGTGCGTGTGTGCTAATGTGTGAATGTGTGTGCGTTGTGGAAGTGTGTGCATGTGAGAATGTATGAATGTGTGTGTGTCTATGTGTGCATGTGTGAGTGTGCATGTGAGAGTGTGTGCGTCTGTGTGCATGCTTGTGTGTGCGTGTGTGTCTGTGTGTAGAATCCACTACCCACCTGATTCTAATGCAGACTCAGTCCTGAAGCCACGGCTCTGGTACTTGATCTGTTCAGAAGGCAGATGATCAAATAGTGGCATTGTTCTCTTTAAGATGCAGCAATGGAAGATATTAGAGTGTGGTAGAGAGAGCACTGGCCTTGGACTCAGAACATCTAGCTGTATATCTCCGCTTTGTCACTTAATAATTGAGCAAATAATTTACTTTCTCTAAGCTTCAGTTTTCCTCGTTGGTAAACTTCCCATGTTTCCATCTCCTTAACACATCTTCACTTTTATTCTACCTCAAGTATGCACTGAAAGCAGTTGTTAAGACTTAACTGCAGCACGATTGTTGAATGATTGTGTGAAAACATGCACTCCAGCTCTCCTAACTCTTTCTTCTTCAGTGGGTCTGGAGAGGTAGTGTTGAGTGTATCCATCACTAACAATTCCCAGGTCAGGCTGCAGCACCACACAGAACTACTGACTTAAAGTGCGTCCTCTGTGTAATAGCTTTTACAAACTCTTGACAGTGCTATGTAAAAGTAAAGAAATGATATAACTCCTTCTCCCAAAATTGGCAATTATTTTGCCTTCTTATAACTGAGCAAATGCTGCAGACACTGAGCAAATGTTGACTATTTGTATACTTTTCTGTAGCAACCAGATTTTCTGTCATATTTCAAACCAAACTAGAATAGAATTGCTTGAAGTTTCTGCTAAACAATATGTGACTCTCCATGTTTTATTTTAATCTGGATTTGGTTTATGTTTTACTTAGTTGAAGCAAGAAGACACGACAGAACGTCAAAAGGTGACATGTCCAGATTGTAACAAGGAAATTGATGAGACCCTCAACATTGAGGCAATAGAGCTTGCCAACAGGCGTCTCTTGTCGGCACAAATAGTCAGTACACTACTGCACTCCTGTAAAAGTATTTTGGAGCCTAAAATTATACTAAAAACTTTCTCCCTTGCTACATACATTTTGATTATGCTCACCTACGTGGCCTAAAACACTGTTTACAAAGCTTGAAACTGTACTGGGAATCTACTTAACAGAAAGAGGGAGGGAAGCAAATTTAGGTAATATCAAAGAGTGTGATTTATTAATCTGTGAATCTTTAATAGCAAACAGGTAGTACATAGTTGGTGCTCAGTTAATTAATCTAAACCTGTTGGGCAATGCAATGTTTGTTGTAAGAACAAATATCCTTCTTGGCATTTCAGTTTTGCTCTTCCTTGCCATCTCCCTGGCTCTTTTAATTGCCTTGCTGTGACTGTTTTCCTTCCTTCTTTTGAGTAGAAATGTATATTACCTTTGTTTGTTTCTGTCTGATAAGCCAACTTAAAATATATATCTAATTTTATGTTATAAAATACTATAAACAAGCCAGACATGGGGGTACATGCCTGTAATCCCAGCTACTTGGGAAGTGGATGCAGAAGGATAGGCAAAAATGGTAGCGAGACCCTGTCTCGAAAACAGCATAAGAACAAAATGGCTTGGGGCATAGTTCACTGGTAGAGTGCTTGCCCAGTGTGCGCAAGTCCCTGGGTTCTAATCCTGTAACATACACACACACACACACACACACACACACAAACATCAAGCCTTTCATATACGTATACATATACATATATGAATATACTTCTTAGGAGTACATTCTTCAACAGGTTGATAATATAATTGTCACTAATTATTTCCAACATTTCCAGTTGAGAATGTCTTGGGCTTTTTGTTTGTTTCTTTCTTGTGCGTGGTTCTGGTATTTGAATTAGGAGCCTCTCACTGGGAAAGCACTCTTAACACTTGAGTCGCATTCCCCAGCCATTTCAGCTTCATTTTTCAGAAAGTCTTGCACTCCCCCTCCTCCCAGGGCTGGTCTCAGATCATGGTCCTCTTATCTCTACCTCCCAAGTAGCAGGGATTACAGGCATGAGCCACTGTGCCAGGCCCTAGTTGAGATATCCTTGAAGTTCACCTTGTCATGGTTTGGCTACCTCTGACCTAATGATGTAGGAAAAAGCAATCGACTGGTAAATGTGTAAAGATGTTTCTGACTAAAAATATGAGAGAGTTGCATCCAACTCACGATTTATTCATATAAAGACAATAGAGTGGTAGGTATGAAATAAATTAATCTTTAGGAAATTAAATATAGCATCTTTTCCTGCTTGAATGCTTTCAGAATTATTACTACTTTGTTGTACTTTTAAATGTATAGGATCATGTCTGTAAGTTACTGCCAGACTTTTAACTGATTTTAGGAAAATATTGTATTTAAGAACTGGCAAAACAAGTGCAGGAGATTTCATTTAGAGTCTTGTTTTTGTTATAATATTAAGACCTGAGTTTTAATCCCAAGATCAAACTCCTGGGAGTCGACTCACCCCTTGTATTCCAAACAAAGACAGTGAAGGCAGAGAAAGGAGGTTTTTATGTGGCACAGGCAGCCACAGGAAGACAGCACTTCATTTCATCTTCAGCCATCTTTGGGATTCAGACATGAGCTTAGGGGCCGGGGAGAGAGGCCGACATGATTATGAAACAGTGCTGGCCGCCAGTGTGGGCTTGTTGATCATTAGCTCAGTCCTTGATTTGGGCGGGGTCCCGGAGAAGAATTTATTACTGGTCCTGGGAGGTGCTGATGTTCCCTTCCTTTAGGGCAGTTTCCTCCATCTCTCCTTGTAAAAATGTTATCTTTTGGTAAGTCCTGATCTTGGAACCCCAGATGATCACAAAATGACTGAAGACAGAATGGCTTAGAGCAAAGACATGGATGCATAATGGAGGCTGGAATGTCTAGCTTTTATCCTGCCTTTAGTTAATTTGTGGGCCCAAATAAGGTGTTTCTTAGCAAAAGCAGCTTTTAAGCACCTATTACAACATGATGTAATAACTAAGGAATTTCTCTTTTTAGTTTTAATTCCCCCATCCATAAGAGAAGACTTAAACTGACTGAACGACCTCATCAGTTCTTTCCAGTGTGGGCAGCCCACATTTTCTGCAATATGCACTCCAGGTGCCATTTTTACTTCTTCCTCCAATATTGGTATCTACTATTCTATCTCTGATTGTTGATTTTTTTGCTTCTGTGCTTTGTTGTGTCTTCATCAGAGGTTTTATTTTTTTTTTCAAAGTAGGTTGGAGCTCTCTGCTGTTGTCCAGAACCTTAACACACTTCATATCATTTTAGTTCATCTTCATCTTACATTGTTTTCATGTTTTATTATTTTTATTATTTGTTGATTTTTTATTTTGTTGGTTATTTTATTATTCGTTGGTTTGGTTTCTGTGACCTCTATTCTAATGCTCTCTGCTTTTGACATTAACAGCGGATATACAGTCTTCAAAGCTTTGAGAGGATTTAAAAAAACCCAAAAATTCCATTCTTGTTACTGAGGCAGTATCTTTTCTACAGTTCTACTTTAGAAAAGAGAGCATGGTGGACATACAGAGGAGGTGGCAGGCAGAGTAAGAGCAAAAGGACAAGCTTCGGATTCTGAGAAATCAGAGTTCCTAATGTCGTCTTGGGATAGCTGTTCGGCTCTCTGGCCTCTGCACTCACATCTGTAAATTATAGAGTAGAATACCTTCTTCATGTATTTGTTGCAAGAATATAAAGCTTACACAGATTAGTGAATTCAGTGGCACTTATATTTAGGAATCAACGATTTTCTAAACTCTTCTTACATTTGGTAGGAAGGATCATTTAAGAATTAACATTTTTCTAGTGTCTATCTGCTTTGTCTGTTATATTGCTAAGCTTTCATGACATCCATATTATTTTCAACTTCATTTTTTCCGCCAATACAACTTTTACTGTTGAGAATCATGAAAATATTTTAATCTCATATTGCTTTGAAGGTACTTTAATGTATTAGGAGGAGAATGCTACTCTAGTGAATTCCTATCATTATGGACAAAGAGCCTTTTGGGGGGAAGAGGAGGGTACTGGGATTGAACTCAGGGCTTTGCACATGCTAGGCAAACACTCTACCACTTGAGCTATACCCCCAGCCCGACAAGTAGCTGTTTGATCACACATCTTCAAATTTAATTATCCCTTTCTAGTTTCCCCGAAACAAAACAGTGCTTTAGTGCTCATAAATGATTGTGCAGAGAGAGCACGTTACATAACAGCCATCTCTGGTTAGGCAGCGTGTTCCAGTTAGGAGTTTGGTCTATGCATTGAGACCAGGCACGGTATCTGGTAGCGGTTCCCACAGCACGAAGCACCGTTCCTGAAGCTGAGTGGATTCTCGGTATACATACTGAATGAAACAGTGACCATGCTGTGCGTAACAGTGGCAGTCCTTTGTATCTTTTTCTTTTCTTTTTGGGGCAGGACTGGGCTTTGAACTCAGGGCCTCATACTTACTAGACAGACACTCTACCACCTGAGCCATGTCCTCAACCCTTCGGTGCTTTTGTTATTTTTCAAGTAGAATCTCACATTTTTGCCTGGGACCAACCTCAGATGGCAGTCCTACCTACCTATGACCTCCTGTGTAGCTAGGACCACAGGTCAGTGACAACATACTTGGTTATTGGTTTAACTGGGGTCTTGCTAACCTTTTCCCCAGACTGGCATGGAACTATAGTCCTCCTCAGTCACTTAGGATTACAGGTGTGAGCCATCATGCCAGGCTTAAAATAGACTGCAAATAGCAGTCTTTCTCCTTATACTAGACTGAAAATGACAGAGCTCTGCTGTAGAAATACTTGGAACCATGGAATTAAATAAAGATGCCAACCAGGATCTTTTTAATCCTTCAGGAGTTCTCATGGTCTTTAATATACTAAAATGTATTATGAAATTTTAACATAGGAACACAGCTTGCAACAGGTCCTGGGCTTCTTTTTATTTATTTTTTTGAAAATCTGATTATCAACCTGAAATGAGCACCCTAATTTCTTCCAGAACCAGCTTGTTTCTCCCAAAATCCAGATCTACTTTCTGCATGGATCTGGCAATCTGAACCTCATAGAGAGATTCTTTTTCTAAGTATACTTGGCTATTTGGAGATTTTGATCTCTTTTTCACAGATTATTTTTCTGTCAAGGTGGTAAGAAGTTGTCATGTTATCATGCTATGTAATGATTCAAATCGACATTTCTTTTAGGCGAGCTACCAAAGACAGTACAGGAATGAGACTCTGTCCCAGAATGCAGTCCAGATGTTGGTAGGTGCCACAGGAAGCTTTGGTGAGAAGAAAGGAAAGTAAGTGTGTTGTTAAGGGAGGGCGTCTAGCCTAAGACTGCACTTACAAAGTATGCAAGTGGGTTTTCTTGATTTAGTCTGCTAACTTGGGTTCATCTAGTATTATGTGTGCAAGCTGCTCTCTGCTGGTGGGTGTGCAAAGCTGTGGTGAACTTACTTTTCCTTTTTGACCTGTTCTGCAGGCACAGCTTCCCAATGCACAGGTAGCGCCTCGCCTGTCCTCTCATAGTACTCAGCATACATTTGGAATCTAGCACTGATTTCCTTAGATAGAGGTCTCCAAAGTAAACAGTGAGGTCCTCAAAGTCAGTGTAGTGGGGAACACCCTCAGGCCACCCGCTGTGTATCAATGAAAGATCTGTGATTGACAGAAGGAAGGATTAAACTACAATGCAATTGCGACAATGTCCACCCACAGCCCACAGCCCTGGCGTTCCTTCCAATTCTAGACTTTGATCCTGATGCCAAAGACTCCTGCTCCCTTGATGAAATGACCCTAAGCTTATTTCTACAGTGTTCTTAGACCTTTATCCCTGTTTCATCATCCCACAAGCAAACTTGGTCTTTGGTACACACATACCTAAATCTGAAAGATGTGCCAACCTGTGTCCGCTGACATGTGTCAGCCTGTACAGTGAAGAGTAAAGGTGGATGTGAGAAGAGAAGCATCCAAAACTTTGACTCATTCTCACTGCACTTCAAGCACAGATTTTTAAAGACATGTTAGAGTTTTTACCTCAAGTCTAGTCATGCAAATCAATAGGACATTTTATATGTCAAGATAGGAAGATAAATATGTAGTATCTCAGTTTGTTTTCTTCATTTATAATGTTTAAACATTTCCATATATGGTTCCCTGGTCTTCATTTGCCTATTGATTCAGACTCTCCAAATGCTTTGAGTGGAATGGAAGGGATTGGGAGAAAAGGCTGGGCAAATGGAATAATTTCAAATAATGCAATGCCTTCCTTAAGACATGCACAGCATAGATATGAGGCTTTAAAATAAGTGAATAAACACCAACCTAAAAGTCATTATTGTTGCATTATCCCGGAGAGGACTGCACAAAGGCAGACACAACATATACCTGTGAAATCTCAGAACAAACTGACACGAACAGGTCAACAGTGGGAAAATAGTTGAAAGGAGCTTTAGTGGACAACACAGGCATATCTTGGAATATATGACACTTTTACTCATACATGTAGGAGACATATATTTAATGTCATGGGTTCGACACCCTGTGCAAGACACTGAAGGGAGCAGTGAGATTTGTAACGTAATGTTTAGACTCCTAGAAAACTTTATTGATTGTATTTATATCTGTACCTGCTTCTTTGCTGAACTGCCTGGGAGTAGACCTTGCCATTTACTGATCACTCCAATCAGAAGCTCAGTGGATTTGGGTGTCCTATGGCAAGAAAAAAAATCTAAGATAGAACATGCAGAGGGTTTACACAGGGATACCAGGAGCTGTGCTAGGTGCCTATGGAACGGCCTAAGACATAATACTTTAATTATTAAGTTTATTATTACTGGCAGATATGCCTGGCACATTTTAAACATTTTATGTCCATTACCTATTTTTGTCTCACACAAATTCTTTGAGAGAAATGCTGCTGTTATCTTCATGATGCAGGGGATGAAAATGAAGCACAAAGATATTAAGTAATTTACCCAAGGTCATTTGTCTAACAAATGACAGAGCTGTGATCCAAATCCAATTTCCTTCACTAAACAGTTAGAGGGATCACCCTGGCTCCCTGAATCTGGTCTTTTTAGTGAGCATGTTAGCATGAAACAGGAATTTGAGAGCCTTAATTATACATATAGTAACTTGGGCTATAAGTGACTGCAGATCACTGATACTACAGAATTTTAGAATTCATGGGAACCTGTGAAATTGTCATTCATCCAAACCCACAGCCAGCATTATACTTAACGGAGAAAAATTAAAACCATTCCCTCTAAAATCAGGAACCAGACAAGGATGCCCACTATCTCCAGTCCTATTCAACATAGTACTGGAATTCCTAGCCAGAGAAATTAGGCAAGAAGAAGCAATAAAAGGAATACAAATAGGTAAAGAAACTGTCAAAATATCCCTATTTGCAGATGACATAATCCTATACCTTAAAGACCCAAAAACCTCTACTCAGAAACTTCTAGACATCATCAATAGCTATAGCAAGGTAGCAGGATATAAAATCAACATAGAAAAATCATTAGCATTTCTATACACTAACAATGAGCAAACGGAAAAAGAATGTATGAAAACAATTCCATTTACAATAGCCTCAAAAAAATCAAATACCTAGGTGTAAACCTAACAAAAGATGTGAAAGACCTCTACAAGGAAAACTATACACTTCTGAAGAAAGAGATTGAGGAAGACTATAGAAAGTGGAGAGATCTCCCATGCTCATGGATTGGTAGAATCAACATAGTAAAAATGTCTATACTCCCAAAAGTAATCTACATGTTTAATGCAATTCCCATCAAAATTCCAATGACATTCATCAAAGAGATTGAAAAATCTACTGTGAAATTTATATGGAAACACAAGAGGCCACGAATAGCCAAGGCAATACTTAGTCAAAAGAACAATGCAGGAGGTATCACAATACCTGACTTCAAACTATATTACAAAGCAATAACAATAAAAACAGCATGGTACTGGCACAAAAACAGACATGAAGACCAGTGGAACAGAATAGAGGATCCAGATATGAAGCCACACAACTATAACCAACTTATCTTTGACAAAGGAGCTAAAAATATATGATGGAGAAATAGCAGCCTCTTCAACAAAAACTGCTGGGAAAACTGGTTAGCAGTCTGCAAAAAACTGAAACTAGATCCATGTATATCACCCTATACCAAGATTAACTCAAAATGGATCAAGGATCTTAATATCAGACCCCAAACTCTTAAGTTGATACAGGAAAGAGTAGGAAATACTCTGGAGTTAGTAGGTATAGGTAAGAACTTTCTCAACGAAACCCCAGCAGCACAGCAACTAAGAGATAGCATAGATAAATGGGACCTCATAAAACTAAAAAGCTTCTGTTCATCAAAAGAAATGGTCTCTAAACTGAAGAGAACACCCACAGAGTGGGAGAAAATATTTGCCAATTATACATCAGACAAAGGACTGATAACCAGAATATACAGGGAACTTAAAAAACTAAATTCTCCCAAAACTAATGAACCAATAAAGAAATGGGCATGTGAACTAAACAGAACTTTCTCAAAAGAAGAAATTCAAATGGCCAGAAAACACATGAAAAAATGCTCACCATCTCTAGCAATAAAGGAAATGCAAATTAAAACCACACTAAGATTCCACCTCACCCCTGTTAGAATAGTCATCATCAGCAACACCACCAACAACAAGTGTTGGCGAGGATGCGGGGAAAAAGGAACCCTCTTACACTGTTGGTGGGAATGTAAACTAGTACAACCACTCTGGAAAAAAATTTGGAGGCTACTTAAAAAGCTGGACATCGATCTACCATTTGATCCAGCAATACCACTCTTGGGGATATACCCAAAAGACTGTTACCCCAGAGGCACCTGCACACCCATGTTTATTGCGGCACTATTCACAATAGCCAAGTTATGGAAACAGCCAAGATGCCCCACCACTGAGGAATGGATTAAGAAAATGTGGTATCTATACACAATGGAATTCTATGCAGCCATGAAGAAGAACGAAATGTTATCATTCGCTGGTAAATGGATGGAACTGGAGAACATCATTCTGAGTGAGGTTAGCTTGGCCCAAAAGACCAAAAATCATATGTTCTCCCTCATATGTGGACATTAGATCAAGGGCAAACACAACAAGGGGATTGGACTATGAGCACATGATAAACGCGAGAGCACACAAGGGAGGGGTGAGGATAGGTAAGACACCTAAAAAACTAGCTAGCATTTGTTGCCCTTAATGCAGAGAAACTAAAGCAGATACCTTAAAGCAACTGAGGCCAATAGGAAAAGGGGAACAGGTACTAGAGAAAAGGTTAGATCAAAAAGAATTAACCTAGAAGGTAACACCCATGCACAGGAAATCAATGTGAGTCAATGCCCTGTATAGCTATCCTTATCTCAACCAGCAAAACCCCTTGTTCCTTCCTATTATTGCTTATACTCTCTCTACAACAAAATTAGAGATAAGGGGAAAATAGTTTCTGCTGGGTATTGAGGGGGGGGAGCGGGAGGGGGTGGAGTGGGTGGTAAGGGAGGGGGTGGGGGCAGGGGGCAGAAATGAACCAAGCCT